AATTACTTGTTATCACACTATTTATTATTTATTTATTGAGCTACATATACTATCCTTTTATATATATATATATATATATATATATATCCTTTTTTTGCTTTTATGTAAAATCAGATATATGAGACTATTTTTTATTTTTATTATTATTTCACAGTGAATGTGACAATATTTTCTATCTTTAGATGGACACTTTTACTTGGCTGTGATATTTAATATTCTGTTCGCACTAAAATAATAATTATATTATTTATTTATTTTTTTATTTTTGTCTGTTTAAAATAATAGTTTTATTTTAAAAAATAATCATATCACTTTAAAATTATTTTTATTATTTTATCATTATTACACAAATTTCATTATTTTTTATACAAATACATTCATAAGATATTTTAGTTTTTTACTACTTATTTTATACGCACTTTCATTATTTTTTACTCCCTCCGTCCCATATCTATATATCCATTTATTTTTTGCATAAAATTTTAGAAATATTAGTATTATATTGAGATGCAGTAGAAATAAAAGTTAAAAAACTAAACTACCTTTATTAGTATTGTATGATATAAAGATAATGATATTTGTTTAATATATTGTAAATTGAGAGGGTATTTGTAATGTTAGGTAGCTAGTACAATTACTAAAAAAAATAAATAAATTTAGTTATAGAACGTACCAAAATAAAAAAATAAATAAATTACTAAGAAACAAAGATAATATCATTTAATTAAATCCTGTGACGAACACCAGCGAGACTATTGTAATTCCAGAACAGAGAGAGCACTTAAGAGTATTATGATGTGAGAAGATTTAATTGGTCTGACATGTTGTGTTTGTATTTTTATTTTAAATAAATAAAAAATTATTCCTTCAATTTTTAGTTAAAATGTCTGTATTACCTACATACGAAAATTTAGAAAAAAAATATAATTAGTAAATAATTTAAAAATATATTAGTAAAAATAATTATTATATAATAAAAATAATTTTAAATTAATACTAAGACGACTATGTAATTTAATTAAAATTAAAAAATTATAAATTATAAAATTTACAATGTGATTAAAGTATATAATTATTTTTTTAAAAAATAATAAATTATGTAAGACAAAAAAAAAAAAAAAATTTATGTGCTATAGAGGGAATACTATTCAATCCGAACAATTATTAATAATATACTCACTCCGTTCCAAAACAATAATTTTATTTTGTCATTTTGGTTTGTTCCAAAACAATAGTCTCATTTTTATTTTTTTTAAGTAACAAACCCCTCACATTTCTACAAAACTATCATCATTTTTTTATAATAATTACATAAAATAGAGATATTTTGGTCTTTTAAAAATACTTTTACACAAACTCTCAATATAATACTATTATTTATTTATTCTCGTGTCAATCTCAAATATCTCTATTGTTTTAGGATCCAGGGACTATTATTTTCTCTCCGTATTTAAACAAAAATTTAAGTTAATATCTATTACTTTTAAGTCAATTTCAAACTATAATTAAACAAACTTGTAATTTTCAATCTTTTAAGGTGTATTTGGTTCAAATGTACGGAATATAAAAAATAGGGTTTGTTTGTTTAATGTTTTGATTTGAATTATTTTTTCAAAAAATCGTGTCGATAATATAAAAAAAATAATATTTTATGTTGAAGGTTGACTTTTGTGTAATAGTAAAGTTTATATTGAAAATCGTATGGAAAAAAATGAATGGCCAAACAAACCCAATATTTTTGTGTTTTAGAGGAAATGAAGGGAAAAATAATATATAAAATTATATTATTAGTGAAAAAAGAAAGGGACAAATAAGAACAAAATTGCATAATAGATATTGAAATTAAAAATTCCATTACAATGTTTTATGACTTCAAAAAAAATAAATAAGAACTTAAAACAACGACGAGGAGATGGACATTGGAGAGAAAGTAAGATATATAAAGTTACAGCCAACAAAAATAGACACGGTTTGAAAATTCGATTCGAATTCGGCAAGAATAAATTATGTTTGGACTTCCAAAAATAAGTTCAAAATTTTTTGGACCGTGCCTTACCCAATATGCAAATTAACCGGGCCCTGCTTGGCCCGGCCTGGTTTATTAAAATTAGTATTTATATTTTAATATCTTTATATATAATAACTAAAAAATTAAGGAGTAATAAAAATTAAAATGTAGTTTGATGGTAAGTTCTGGATTTGATTGTGGGTTTCACAACGGGCCGGGCCGGGTTGTGTCAATTCAACATATTTCACAGCTGGATCGGGCCGGGCCGGGCCGAATATAAAATAGAAATAAGAGTTAATAATTATATATAGTAAAGTAAATCTTAAATAAAATATTGATGGTATAGTAGTTAATTTATATTTGAAATCTTACAATTATTTATCTCCCCTTTCAAATTACACCAATTAAGGAGAATAAAATTTGTCGCTCTAAAAAAAAAAAAAAAAAAGAAAAAAGAAAAAATCGAACTCATAATTGACTATATCAAATATATTACTTGTAAATCTTTTTTTTTGTTCATCGCAATGACATATACGACATTAATACAAATATTTTCATATAAAAAAAATTAATAAAAAATTTAATTATCCAGTTCGATCGTATGTATGCTCTACTAGATTATATTCTTTCTCAAATTTGATAGAATTAAATTCTAAAGAGGTGTCTACTTTGGTGAATTATTTAGTTTTTATGTTGGTATAGATTATGTATAGCATCAATATATTAATAATCCACCAAATAAGCATAGCTTAAGACATTAATCTCCTAACCTCTAAAAATTTCTTTGTCTCATAGGCTACACTATCTTTCTTTTTACGTGATAAAAATTAAATGCTAAAGGTGTATCTTCTAAAATTTGTCGGGTTTAGTTTGCAAACTATTAGGTTTAACCGGAGATTTAGTCAAAATACACTCGAAGAGTCTGCGAGTTCCCAATATCATTAAAAGAATTAAAAATTTATTTGTTAATATGCAACTCTTTCTTAGTTTTATTTTTTAAAATTTTTTTATTTCTTACCTTTTTTTACATCATACATAAAAAAAACACACACACACACACAATTATTTATTTATTTTTTTAAAACTTGGTGATTATCTTTTATTTATTTCTTTAAAATTTGGTGATTATTAAATTGTTAGTTTGATTAATTTTTTAGTATATTGTATGTAATATTATCAATCGAAACACTTTGGATTGACTGTCAGAAAAACAAAAATCTACCTATGCCAATTAAGATAGTTAAGACTATTTTCTATTATTTTATATGATTAAATATAATTTTTATAATCAACTAAACAATATTCAAAAGGTGTATAATATATGGTTCTGACAAAGTTTTTATATAGCTCAATATATATACGGTGTGTTCCTTTTCTAAAAAATATATATGCAATTTTCCAAAATAATTAATATCTTATACATATTTATTATTTTTATATTATTTGCATAATTTTTTATACCTCACATAAAAAAAAAAAAAAAAACTATAGTGATAAAAATTTGCTGGCTATCAAATTGCAATATTGTAAGTCCTTAGTCTAGCTAGTTTGTGATTAGGTGAGTTCTAGATAAATTCTGTGTTCTTTTTTTAAAAAAAAAAAGAAAAAAAGAAGAAGGAAATTAGATAAATTTTAATTATGTTTGTAAAAAAACATAATTTTTTGATATAATATTTTGAAGGAAAAAAAAAAAAAAACAATATTTGGCATAATATATACAAGAATGTCTAGATTAGTGATACAAAAAAATAATTTACAAACATTTATATCCACTTTCATTAAAACTTTGTCTAAATATTTTAATATACTCTGTCCCTCCTGTTACAGGATTAGTGTGCGGTATTTAAGAAAAATACTCCCTCCGTTTCGAACTTGCAATATATTTTTTTTTGGTATGTCCAAACACAAATAATATTTTCAAAATATGAAATAATTAATTATACTTGATCTCTGCCCCACATTTTATCCCCTCACATCAACCAAATAAAAAATAAAATATATATTTCTCTCTCCATCACATCACCTAATTTTTAAATTATTCTACTTAATACTACCCACCTAAAAACCCGTGTCAAAATAAATGTTGCAACTTGTTTGAGACGGAAGGAATATAATTTAGTAAGTTAAATGATAATAATTTATGATATATTTTTATTATTTTCATATGAGTTGTTATTTTTATATTTTTAGAATAAAAATTTATATAAGATGATTTTTTAAAAAATATATATTTAAATATTTTAAACAATATATCAATAAAATATAAGTATACAATATAAATATCATTTTATAAAATATAAAATTTTTATATAATACCATTAAATAATAAAAAAAATTATGTATTTATGATTAACATAAAATATTTTTTTTTAAAAAAAAATAGAGTTGTAAATATTATATATAGATAAAAATATTTGTTTGTTAAATAAATCTCCTTATAAGGAGTTTTGAATGAATATGTATGATGCTATATGTTATAAACTTATCAAATATAAAACGATATCATTTGTTATGAGATGTACTAAAATATACTCCATCAATCCGACTCTAAACGTCTCATTTTACCTTTTGTGTCATTGTACTTAACATTAAAAATATCATTATATTTGTATAATTTTTTGCACAAATGTTATAATAATAGTATTATAGAAATATTCTTGTTTTGTTTGTTTAATTTGTACTACGTTTTCATATAATAATTAATATTAAAAAAAACTCGCAAAAAATAAATGAGAGCCCAAAGCAGGACCGTAGTAAATAGTATATCTTAGGTTGGACAAGGGAGTTAGGAGTATCATTTAATCTCATCCAAGTATAGATCCCACCATCAACCAAAGACAACCTCTATATATATAATTTTCAAGATGAATGTAGCTTCATAAAAGATCAGAGAGATATATAGATATATCAATGGCGACGGCGGCGATCTTCTCCATGGCAGCTCAGTTGAACGCCACCGGCGGGGTGACAACAATACCGGACGACACTACCACGGGCCTTCGCAACCACAAAGGCCATCTCAAATTAGGGCATTATTCCATGAATGGCGGACAAGGACTTAATAGCTATGCCAATAACTCAACTTATCAGGTTTCGTATTTTAGTAAATATTGCAAATCTCTAAAATTTGTATGAAATTCTTAATTTTAAAAAAATAAATAAATAAATTGATTTTGAAGTTTCGTAAGTGAATGTTTTTATCATTTTAGTCATATAATTAGAGTATATCGCAAATTAGTTGCGTAAGTGAAAATTTTTCGTATCTGGCGCACTGCAGATGCCTATGTACACCATCGTGACTTGCTGAATGACACATGTCTGTCCGGTCAACAACACCTGATGGACATATGAATTTTTTATTTTTTTTTAAAAATAATTGATTTATTTTGTTTTTCTTTTGTAAAATTTTTATTTTTTTTAAAAAAATTGAAAATTAAAAATTAAAAAAAATTCATGTGTTCGCCAAATATCGACCGGTAGACACGTATCCTCCGGCGAGCTACATAAACATCTCCAGCACCGGAATACTAAAATAATAAAAAGATTCAGTTACGGAACAAAAATATAGTTTACCCTTTCTAGAATATTATACATAATCCCTAAAAAAGATTGTGGTATTGTTGAAAATACAAGAAAGATAGATGCAGACTTTTCAAATTACAGAAAGATTATAAGTAATTTTACCCAATTTTTATTAGTTTTGCTTCGCTAACTTGTTTGTTTAGAGAGGAGGTTTCGAGGCTGTGAAACCGATCATGGAAGAAGAAATCGCGACGAAACTCGACTTAAAAAATCGCTCATCTAAGACGCCTTTCCGCATCGCCGACTTCGGATGCTCCACCGGGCTCAACTCATTTCCGGCCATGCAAACCATCATCCAAGCCATCGAAAAAAAAATCGACACACAAAAAGGATTACTTTCCGGGCCCCCGGATTTTCAAGTGTTCTTCGTTGATCAATTGGTGAATGATTTCGCCTCATTGTTTCGTTTGCTTCCCCCGGAAAGGAATTACTACTCGGCAGCTGTGCCCGGTTCTTTCCAAGATCGCCTCCTGCCGAATGCCTCGATAGATTTTGCGTATTCGTCGTGCGCGCTTAACTGGTTTTCAAAGATTCCTGCAGCTGTCGAAGATCGATCATCGCCGGCGTGGAATGGAGGGAGAGTTCACTATACGGGAGCAAGACGAGAAGTTTTTGAGGCCTACGCGAAACATTTTGCGAATGATATTCGGTTGTTTTTAGAGGCGAGGGCACGAGAGGTGGTCGCCGGAGGACTGATGGCTCTTCTTGTTCCGGCGGTTCCTACTTTCGAGATTCCCGACAACTCGTTCGCGACCCCGACGGAGTTGGATCTTGTAGGTTCTTGCCTTGTGGACATGGCTAAGAAGGTAAAACATCCTTGCTACGGTATAGACTATTGATACATTTTTCCTTTTTTGTCTGTCTTTGTAACCATTGATATATTTATATTTTTCGTAAATTTAACTAAATTGAAACATATTTAATAAATGTAAATAAATTTAATTAACTACGTAACATATAACATCGTAAATAATGTAAGATCCACTTAAAACCTTCTATTTTCATCTCTTCTAAAAAAAAAAATATTTATATTTATATTTAAAATTCTACATCTTTTATAAAATTAGATTATATTAATTGTAAAGTATTTTTTTATTTAGTTGTATTATAAAAAAATTTATTCTCTATACAAAATGATATCCATATAGTATATATTTTTATTTTGAGATATAATTTTTTAAATATTTAAATGCATATTCTATTTTTTTTAATATGTATTAAATTTATTTTAAAATTATTAATATTATTGATTATTATATAATATCACAACTCATTATTATTAACTAATTAAATATCAGTGTCATTGATAAAAAAAAAAAAAAAAAGAAAGGAAAAAAAAAAAGTTAATTATCTTGAGAAGGAGAAAGTACTATTTATAAAAGTTATCCAAAATTCTAAAAACTTTTATCTAAGAAGAGCCTATATTAGTGTTATGATATATAACAACATTTGTATGTTTTACAGGGTAAAATCAAGAAAGAGAAGATAGATTCGTTCAACTTTCCAATGTATCTCACAATTCCACAAGAATTTCAGACAATATTAGAGAGAAACCCCAAGTTTAGCATAGAGAGGTTCGAAATAATCGACAGCCCGGGAAAAAGCACCTTAGCCGGCGCTAATGCTCGCGCCGGATTCATGAGGGCAATCTTGGAGGTTTTGCTGATAAATCATTTCGGCGGTGAAATCATAGATGAATTATTCGACAGATACACGAAGAAACTTGCATCTTCGCCGGTTTTCATTGACCCTAACAATGATAAATCAATTCTCATATTAGTCATCCTTAAGCGCAAACCCGAATGATTGTTGCACGTAAGCATATCCATGTTTTCTTATCGATTCGTCATTACTTCTCTTATCCCGGCTTTTGAGCTATGCAATAAAATTTGTACTCTTTTGATGAATAAAATGGATTCAGTGGTAGATTAAGACTATGTTAACTTTGAAAATCACTTGTTTACTTTATATAAGATTAATTGGTGATCTTGCGTGAACTCAATCGTGAAATCATGAATTTAAACCCTAAAAAATATGTAATAATCATAGGAGATTATAATCCAAATTTTCTTTTCCCCTTAAAACAAAAGTACGAACATGTGTTGAATGAATATACCACTTTATTTGTTGCAATTATATTATATTAATATAATACATGTGGACTTGTCTGTATAATAACAAGTAGCATTCTTATTAAGACTAGGGGTTTGTTTTTCCACAAGTCTCCAAAAACATGTTCACAAAACTTAATATATTACATACATTTATTATTTTTATATTACTTACACAATTTTCTATAAATCACTCAAATAATTTCACTTAACACATATATTTTGTTAAATATAATTATATAATGTGGTGTATCAAAATATATATGTTATAGTACCTCCGTCCAATTTAAAAGTATATATTCACTCCCTCCGCCCCATATGTTCCATTTTTGTCCATCCCAAAACAAGATACTATTTTCTAATTTAGTAGATGTACTACATACCTATTAATTAATACTCTTACAACTTTTAATATATTACCAAATGTTCTTGTCTTTTTCACTGTAAACTACTAATATTAAAAAATCAACGTATAAAAAACAAATGTTGCTCTTCTTCTGGGATGGAGGTAGTATTTATTTTTTACATGAAATTTTAAAAATAATATACCTCCGTCCCAGAAAAAGAATACGCATTTACATTTTTCACGTAAATTTTTTAGTATTAGTAGTATTATATTGATTTATAATAAAAAAGACAAAAAATGATCATATTAGATTGTGTAATATAAAAGTAGTGTATATATTGAAAAGTGTAAGAATATTAATTATGTTAGGTAGTTAGTACAATTACTAAATTATGAAATAATATCTCATTTTAGGAAAAAAAAAAAAAAAATGTATTTTTTTATGAGATCGAGGGAGTAGTATTTTAATTGTAAGTAAGCATTTAGTTAAAAACAGCCTAAACTCCAAAAATATCCCAAAACATAAGTAAATGCACATACTTTAGTGGATGAATCCATAGATGCTTTTCCAGATGATTGCAAATACTTGAATTTCTTACCTACAGAATCTTATAATTTTAAAATTTCTACCATTCAAAATCTCAAAATCTTCACATGATTGATTCCCTGTAAAAAATACAATATTCCCTCCAACAAACTCAACAAAAATCACATTACAGCTATTATTTAAATAAATAAATACAACAAAAAAAGCACCAACCAAACACACTATTGAATACTAAAAAAATTCAGCATTTTTCTGAGGATTTTGGGTGTTTTTGGTTTGTGTTTGGTAGATCTCTGTGTTTGCTGTTTTTTTAGGTAAAATAGTGATTGAATATGATCTTTTATATGGAAAATGTGTCTTTTTATTGAGAACAATGAATCCCTATAGTGAAAAATAAAAACGTCGAAGAACATAGCAAAATTATGCAGTCAAGCATACATAATAAAGTGGTCAGAGGTTAGATGCCTTCTAAAATATGTCCTAATTTTGTAATGAAAATGGAAGCTAAATAAAACGTTGAAGAACATAGCAAAATTATGCAGTCAAGCATATATAAGTGGTCACAGGATAGCCGCCTTCTAAAATATGTTATAATTTTGCAATGAAAATGCAAGGCTAATGCATACCTAAATCACTATTAAAGTTGATGTCAACTATGTCCATTTTGTGAAGCAGCAAACAAGTTGACATAATAATTTAACTAATGGCAGGAAATTAAATAAATGCCTCTTTCTGCTCCTGTAGTCAGAATAAAGTATTTAAGAACTCTAAAAATAGTTTACTTCATACTGAGTTTGTATAAATATGGCTTCCTAGAGAATGGATGCAGCAATATTTTTATAGAATACAGACATACCTGATCACAGGGATATATATTGATGGCTCAGTTGAACGCCGCCGTGGTGTTGTATTGCTGTCAATTTCGACGGACTTCTTCCATCCGGATGACATTGGACACCCCACTTGATTGCAAACACAAAAAACAGTATGAATTCAATGTTAGAGATGAAGTAGCTGAGAAGTGTAAATTAGGACTCCATGCCATGAATGGTGGAGAAGGACCTAACAGCTATGCCCAAAACTCAACTTACCAGGTATGTATGTGTTTGTCATATTGCAGCACATGTTGTGATATTAAACTTAAGTTACTTATCAATAATATTTTTGCAGAAAATCGAATAAAATAGCGTGAATTGCATAAAAATCTTGACCCTTATTGTGTATCCACTATGAACAAAATAGCTTTCAGTTAGTGAAGTTTCTAACCTGTTTGTTTCTTCTGCAGAGGGGAGTTGTCGATGCTGCGAAAACAATCATGGAAGAAGAAATCGCGATGAAACTTGATGTTAAACATCATTCCTCGACTCATAAGATGCCTTTCCGAATTGCAGATTTTGGCTGCTCCACAGGACATAATTCATTTCCAGCAATGCAAATGATCACTGAAGCTGTTGAGAAAAAATTCCACACAGAAGGATTAGCTTCCCGAGTCCCAGATTTTCAAGTGTTCTTCAACGATCAACTGGTGAATGATTTCAACACAATATTCCATTCACTTCCACCCGAAAGGAATTATCACGCGGCAGGAGTGCCTGGTTCCTTTTACAGTCGCCTCTTGCCGAATGCCTCCCTTGATTTTGCATATTCATCTTGTGCCCTTAACTGGCTTTCCAGAGCTCCTGCAGCAGTGGCAGATCATACATCTTCTGCATGGAATGAAGGAAAAGTTCACTACACAGGAGCCAGGCATGAAGTTTTCGAAGCCTACGCAAATCATTATGCAAATGACATTCAGTCATTCTTAGAAGCGAGGGCGCAAGAGCTAGTGAGCGGAGGGCTGATGGCTCTTCTAGTGCCTGCAGTCCCTTCCTTTAAGATTTCCAACACATCCTACACTACTCCAACAGAGATGGATCTTATAGGTTCTTGCCTCGTGGACATGACAAAAAGGGTAAAATAACTTAATCTGGAATTCATGTTCACCATAAATCATAGTATCTATCTTCCCACGAAAGATCGCTCCTTCAAAATATAAAAAACTACTGCATACTTGGGATTGAAGGATATGAGGGTATAGATTTCAAATAAATTCAATGATTCAATATTATAGTTTCAAATCTAGAGCTGGAAACATAAGACATAAAACCAATAAACCATGAAGGGATTCACTACTATCAATTTGAAATTAATCTCTATGAATCAAGAAATAATATGATAATAAATTAAAAAGGATCTAGGAGTTCACGTTTGCTTCTATTCACAGTGCTAGTGACCTGAGATTAACAACCTATTTCTCACAGGGAAGGATCAGTAAAGAGAAGATAGATTCATTCAACTTTCCATTGTATTTCACCATTCCACGAGAATTGCAGGCAATAATAGAGAGAAACCCAAGTTTCAGCATGGAGAGGATGGAAATACTCAACAACCAAGGAAAACTCACCTTGACCAGCGCCCATGCACGTGCCACATACCTCAGGGCTGTCTTTGAGGGTTTGCTGGTAAATCATTTCGGAGGTGAAATCATGGATGAATTATTCGACCGATACACGAAGAAACTTGCAGCTTCATCACTTTTCCTTGACCCTAACAATGAGAAGTCAATCATCATATTTGTCCTTCTCAAGCGCAAAGCTGAATGATTGTTGGTGGCTTGTTACAACTGAAACAAAATCAGGCTCTAAAAATGGCCTTTGAATAACCTGCATTAACTGGGTTAGTTTTTTTCCTTATAAAAACATAATATATACATATATATACACACACATATACAGATTTTTGCTGTTACAAAAGAAAAAGACAATGATTAGCATAATTGATGTTTCTAGTAATAGGTGAGTAATGGGATGATACTGCCAGATGTGGTCATTGAAAATATATTCCACTCTGATATTGTATGCAGCTCAGCTGTTGACAATGAATATATAATGTTTTACAGTAAGATAAGACTTAATTTATAGCAGAAAAAAAATGTCAAAAATTCTTCAGGATCTTCTCACTCAATACTCCATCGTCTACAAGAATGGAAGTGACCTCCTGCAAGAGGTAGACACCAAGATATATATGAGGCAAAATGTGACAGGTTGTGTTTAATAGGTAGCATAAAACATAGTTACCAAATCTAGAATAGACTGAGATGACTGTATACACATTCAAAATGACATTAACAATTTTGCTTGCTTTGGGCAGCAAACAGGAATGATAAACAAGACAAATCAATTTCAATCTATCCAAAGTAGATCACCATAATAACAATAAACAATTTTTGAAATACAGAACATAATTTGCAAGAAGAATTACCAACCTCAGCCATCTGTTTTTGGCCACAAAGTACTGCCCCAGTAGACTGAGGGTTAGATAACCTTTTATCACGAGCAAATGCAGCCTGTACAAACAAGTGAGTGTGAATATCATGTACATAAACATTGGGAATCTTTACTTTACAGATTAATGTGTTGACGACCTGCACATAACCTCGCTCCCCTTTCCAATCATCATCAGGCAGGGACAAGACAGGCACAATATCAACTCCTGAAGCTTTCCAGTCTTTAAACCTTTCCTACATCAAAAGAATTTTGGCCCCCGAAAACAAAGGAAGTGCAATATTTAGAATCAACATAACCTATTAATCCTTTGCTCACAAGGAATGAGTAATCAATTACCTGATATGCCATCCGATTGAGATTTCTAGCTCCATAATACAGCCTCACATCAGATCTATTATTAGCACCAAATCCAGCCTCAATCAAAGCACGAATAGGGCTACACACGACAAGAACAAAATTTTTAAAAGGTGAAAAGATGGAGAAAAAACAAACCAAAATGGAAAGTAGTTTCACCATATCTAGTCAAATGGGGACAAGATTGTTGTAATCGACATGCAATAAGCTAAAGTTCAAGATGAGTAATGAAATTGAACAATCAGATACAACATGGAGTCAGGAGCAAATGAAAATAATAGACAGCTTCGTACAGAAAATGTGTTCAGTCTCCAAGAGTCGATACAAGTTAGTTTTGTGCGTGCATATGGTTGGCAGTATGCTTAACAATATAGAGTCCCTAGATCCATAAGGTTGTAAAGTTTGTGGTTTGTTATTTATTTGATATGTAATATGTTGTCCATTTATCAAGTTAAATTTCTCAATAATAAGACACATATTCCTGACTACTTCATTACATTTCAGTGGTTGCTTTCATACATTCCATTGTGGAGTATTTAATCAATAGTAAAGATTCCTTTTCTTGCTGTTCAATTAAAAATATGTTACAAGATTGAAATATACTGTTTGAGTGAACCACTAGTTCACAAAAAGAAGTAGACTCTTTGTGCCATCATCAATCTCATGGATATCCAAATTAACTAGTGCCGAGCATGTTAGATTCTAGTTGCAGGCACTTTGTTGTCTGCCACTCACTACAGAGTTACATTGCTGGGCAAGCGGGTACCTGATTCAGTGAGAGAACTGGTCTAGGAAGTTTGCTTGTCAGATTCAACAAATATGTGTTCTAGCTTCCAGGAAGATCAACAAGTGTACCTCAGAGCAAACTTTCTACTAGCCATTTGAAGAACTTACAGCAACTCGCTCTTTGCCCAATTCGGCGATTTACTTACTGTCAATTCAAGGGATAAGAATCTACCTTTATCAGCCTCTGGAGAGCTAATCTATCTCGTCCTTCATGGTATTAACTTCAATCATTCCCTTTAAAGGTTCTGCTCATCAGTACTTGCTCACAGCAAATCTATTCACCAGACAACTATAACAAGTTCCTACTAACTCCACATTTCAAGGGGATATTCTCCAACATTTGTCATGTGACACGTCTACCCCTCTTCCCAATGTTGATTCTCCAGTTGCAGCTCAAGACAAGATTTCATACCTTATGTAGTTTCTAAGCATTTCTATTTAGGTTAAAACATTCTCAAATGAAGCAGCCCAAGTTGATATTCTCAAATCTATGTTCATTAGATAATTTACTACTTTCGTCAAATTTATATTCTTCTAGTTTGAGATTAGCATCTCTTATTCTGAGAATTCCTTTATGTCGTTCTAGACTCATCTGATCAGATTTATTTTTTTATTGTTGTTTTGCATTTGTTAAGTAAAGTTCACTTTTGGGTAATAAACTCCAAACAAGCACCATCAGAGCCCTCCTCTAAAACCTCTGAGAATGTTTGTTTCAAAGTTTGACCATTTCATTTACAATATGGAGAGTTTTAAAAAGGACTATTCTCATTCAAAACAGCCTGAAGATGACCTCAGAAGGATAAATGGACATATCTTGACGAGAATTCACTAAGTGGCTAAGTGCTATATGAATTTCAAAGAGATCATGCAGTAATCAGACGATCCTTTTGCCAATGTGACATTTAATCGTCTTTAGAAAGAGAAATTTGGCAATGAGGTGGACAATGATAGAGCTGAGGGATTAATTGCACATGGTCATGAACCAGAGGGAGTCAATATTATTGGAGAGAGAAAGAAGTCGAGATCAAAACAAGAAAAAGAAGCCACACTGTAGAGGAAAATTTTGTCCAATCGGAAGGAGAACCAGTCTTGACTTACGCATATTGAAAATAGAGGAATGAATAGATCATGGATTCAGAATGCTCATTCCATATTTGTCCTTACAAGGGCAGTTTTGATACACTTGATTCATAAGTGTTGTGTTAATGGGAAATTACTCACGGTATGATGTCAAGGGAGTTCCATCTATTAGGATTAAAATTCACAAAGGCATACCTACTCTAATGAATGTTTGGTATCAATTATAAATCAGACTCTTAACTTGATTTCTCTTGAAGCTGTGGAAGCTCTCAGCTACCAACACTCAGCTTAAGTTAGAGTTTTGAAATTATAGTCCAGGTTGCTAAAAATGTGTGTTCATTGCATGTTTTATTTGTTGCATCAATTGTACAGTCAATGGCAGAAGCTTACTATCCTAATCATATTAATATTCTGATTCTTGTTCTACATTTCTCCTGAGTTTGATTTTCCTTTTGGGGAATAATGCCAACAGAGCATCCTATAAGTATGCATTTGTAATTGTACCGTATTGCAATGAGAACATAAAGAAAATTTTGGTGGAATATGAAATTTATGCTATAAACTAGTTCAGAAAATTTACTGACCTAATTCCAGATCCAGTGGCGAAAATTAGCACTGTCTGATAATCCTCCTCCGGCGAGATTTGATCGATATTGAATCCTTTGCCCATGGCCGAGGTCAACTCCACAGCATCACCTTTCTGAAGGTCGCAGAGGAGTTCAGCGGTGGATCCAGCTACGGATTTTACCAAAAACTCAAACACACCTTTCGAGGCGGCGATTGACGGAGGCGATGCAATGGCGAGGAACGCAGGCTTTACGTTAGGATCCTGTAAGCGGAGCTGTAAATACTGACCAGCCTTGGTGTACGAGGCGGCGACCTCGGGCGATTCCGACACATCGATAGTAATACTGAAGAGCGACTCAGCAACAGGGGAAACTTCCAGCAGCGTAGTCGGAGTCCAGACGGTGGTATCCTGGCGCACGGACGCAGCCGAGACAATCAGCCTGCGACGTCGTAGAAGGCGATCGGAGAGGCGGCGAAGCGGCTGGAGTTTAGATAAGGTCATCGACGGCGAGTGGATGGAAGACACGGAAGAACGGTGCGACACATGACAACCAAATATTGAAATCGAACTCGGCGAATAAACACATGTCGCCATGCTTTCAGGAGCTCCGTTGTGAGGCGTCCGCAGAGAAGAGCAGAGAGCGGCGGCCTTCGGAACAGAAAAAGAGAAGCAAGCGTATCAGTTGTGGCTCTCAGCTTTGACGTGTCATGTTCTGATTGGCCCGTGGATTCTCTCACAAAATAAATAAATAAACCGTGAATATCTAAAAAAAATTAAAACTTTAGATAATATTCATCCGTCACAAAACAAAAAAGGCAAAAAATTCAGATATATAAGAGGGAAGTAGTGAAAATAATCAAAAATTGAAGCAAAAATATACAGAATCATGATCCATATTTGATTGTTCTTATTATAAAATAAAAACGACAGGGAAGCTATGGAAGGGTAAGGGAAAGAAGCCATGTGAGGTCCTCTGCAACAATATAAACCTCCAATGGGCACAAAACACAGCAAATTTCTAACTCGGAAATTTTGGTTCCAACGACGATAAATAACACCTCATTCGGGCTGGTGCAATCCCACCAACACTTCACATTATTTTTTCGAATAAAATTCACTTGTTCAATAGCCTTTGCTGAAACTGTATCGGTCGTCGTCTAGGCTGCAGATTCCTTCGCAATCTTCTCGGCCTTGGCGATCACTTCATCGATCCCTCCAACCATGTAAAACGACTGTTCTGGGAGGTCATCGTATTTGCCATCCAAGACTCCCTGTGGAAGAACCAATTAAATTTAAGATCGAAACAAACATGTATTGAAATATTGATTGCGCATAGTTTTTGTTTACCTGGAAGCTGTTGATGCTCTCCTTCAATTCGACGTATTTGCCAGGGGCGCCCGTGAACACTTCTGCGACATGGAAAGGCTGGCTCAAGAATCTCTGGATTTTACGGGCACGTGCCACGGTTAGTTTGTCGTCTTCGCTGAGCTCGTCCATTCCCAGAATGGCGATGATATCCTGAAGATTCTTGTAGTTCTGGAGGACCTTCTGGACACCACGGGCGGTGTTGTAGTGCTCCTCGCCCAATATGTGTGGGGAGAGCATACGGGATGTGGAGTCGAGAGGATCGACGGCGGGATAGATACCAAGCTCAGAAATCTGTACACCATTCATCAAATAATGCAAAAAATGAAGTCAGAGATGGCAGGGATATTGATCCTGAAAGAAATCGGGAGTGATCGTACCTGTCGAGATAACACAGTTGTGGCATCCAAGTGAGCGAAGGTTGTGGCAGGGGCGGGATCTGTCAAGTCATCGGCTGGCACGTAAATGGCCTGTACAGACGTAATGGAACCCTTTCTAGTTGTGGTAATACGTTCTTGTAGACCACCAAGATCGGTAGCCAAAGTAGGTTGATAACCGACAGCAGATGGTATACGCCCAAGCAGAGCAGACACTTCAGAATTGGCCTGCAAGTCACAAGTAAAAGTGGGGTTTTAACAGGAATGAGAAATACTAGACTATTTCATGGATCTTGTTAAATTACGACAGCTAAATGTAATTATTACTTGTGTAAAACGGAAAATGTTGTCGATGAAGAGAAGCACGTCCTGCCCTTCAGCATCACGGAAATGTTCTGCCACAGTTAAACCAGTAAGTCCAACACGGGCACGAGCACCAGGTGGCTCATTCATTTGACCGTACACCAGAGCGCACTTGCTCTCAGCCTTATACAAGAATTAGGAGAAAATTTCAGCTCAAGTTTAAAAAAATTAGATTCGACACAAATATTCAAAATAGAATGATGCCAACCTGCTTGTCACCTAGCTTAATCACACCACTCTCAATCATTTCTCTATACAAGTCATTACCCTCACGTGTACGTTCGCCCACCCCAGCAAACACAGAGAAACCACCTGAAAAAGTAAATTAGCACATTGTTCAGCATGAGGCATTACCAGCGCTGCTCGAGGACATACCAAGCAAAATTCAAGAACGAACCATGAGCTTTAGCGACATTGTTAATAAGTTCCATGATAAGCACAGTTTTCCCAACACCAGCACCACCAAACAGCCCAATTTTCCCTCCTCTTTGATATGGTGCAAGAAGGTCAACAACCTGGAATTTGTAAATTTCACGAATAATTAAGCATGAAATAAATATGCGTAACAGAAGAGGCCATTTCAATGTGGAGAAATCAAATAGGGTATAGCAGAGGTTACCTTGATACCAGTGACAAGAATTTGTTGTTCTGTGGCCTGCTCCACAAAGGCAGGAGCTTCACGATGAATTGGCAAGAAGTGTTCCGTCTCTGAATTATAATATATAGGTCCCGGTTAGGTTGCATTCTTCTTCAGTAACCAAAGAAATGTGTATATATATTGATACATCAAGTTCACTTACTAATATCTCCTTTCTCATCTATAGGCTCTCCAATGACATTGATGATACGGCCTAGGGTAGCTCTACCAACAGGTACCTATTGTCGAGATTAAAGAAGATAAAGGGTTTTTAGAAGAATAAATAACAAGACATCTTCGATATCCAAACACCCTAAATGGGAGAAAGTAACACAAGCACAGAATCAAGAAAAACTTAATGTGCTAAAAATCAAATATATTGTAATTTAAACAGGATACATAATGAAAAATCGACAATTATAGGCAACATAACCTATCAAACGGAATTTATACATATTATGTCAATCCCCCATGACTTAATACATGATAAGAACTCTCTCGATGCTAAAAGTAATGAAACCAACGCATTTTTTCTCATCAACCTAGCACTAATTGTCCTGCTAACTCAAAAGATTCTGTAAATATCCATTGGAGCTGTCAATGGCAAAATTATCATCTAAAGACAACACATTAATTATTTAAAGAAAAGAAAGAAAGCAAGCAAGAAAAATTATCTGCTTCTGAACAACTACCGAAGCTTATTATATGCAAATGCGATCACACATGACTTAGAACACAATTCCAAGAAAAATTAACAGCATACCTTGGCCCTAAACAAACATCAAATAGCACAATTATAGTCAACAATACGCACAATAGGTTTAAACAAAATGCACGCAGATCCAAGGATTAATCATCCAACAATCAAGACAGCGCCTTATGCCATCCAACATCCAAAACCATTATCAGCACATCAAAACATTAAGATATACATTGCGGAAAACAACAAATTCAAACATTTTAATCACTACAAGACAAACATCGATCATCACAAAAAATGGTCAATCTCCAAAACTCACAGTAATTGGCGAGCCAGTGTTGAGCACGCGCTGGCCTCTGACTAAGCCTTCAGTCCCATCCATAGCAATACACCTCACCACACTCTCACCCAAGTGCTGCGCGACCTCCAGAACAAGCCTGATCTGATTATCCAAAACCTCCAAGGCCGTCAAAATTGGGGGCAACCCTTCGTCAAACCTCACATCGACGACGGCACCGATGACCTGGCAAACCTTCCCGATCGATCCCTTACCGGTGAACTCATCCGTGATTTTCCCAGCCGCGCTGGCTTTCGGAGATTTGGGCGGAGAAGGAGCGGATGCCGCCGCAGAAGTCGCGTACTGAGACACAAATCGGTGGAGGAAGTGACCCGCCGGGGAGGGCCTTGCGGCCGGCTTCGGGGCGGCGGTGAATGGTGATCTAGGGCGGCGCGCGGCGGAGGATCTCAGAATCGAGGCTAGGAGCCTCCTCGAAGCCATGACGGAAGATCTGATGGATTGGGGGCTCGAGTTTTGGGGAGAGATGTGAAATGGAGCTAGGGTTTGTGAGCGACAGCGTTATATTACACATCAGGGACTTGACCGTAATTTCACCACCCCAATGACTATTTCTCCCATTTTGATCATTTTTATTTGATTAATTAAAAATATATCATATGAAAGAACTTTTTGTTTGAATTTTAATCTAAATAATAATTTAATTTAATACTTTATTGAAAAAATTATTTTTATTGAAAACTAAAAATTAAATACTAAAATGTTATTTAAATTTAAAAGCAAAATATATGATTTCTTTTCGTTTGACTAGATAATATTTCTTTTATTTAAATATGTGTTCAAGATTATATGAGTAATTAAAAAATTGTATTCGTAAAAATAATTAGTATTGTTCCTATATAATAAAAGTAATTATGATTAAACTTAAGATAAGTGGTTTAATTGAAACTAAAAAATTTATAAATTTTAAATTTTAAAATATGATTAAAATATATAATTATATTTTTAAAAAAAAATAGTGAAAGAAAAGTATATGACGCCCAAAAAAATTGAAAAAAAATAAAGTGAAAATTTGATTTGAGGACGGAAGGAGTACTACTTTTGAATTTGTTCTTTCAAATTAATTTTTTGTTGAAACTATTCTTAATATATATATATAATGATTATACATTTTTTTTTTATATTACCGGTACAATTTTTCATATTTTTATAAAAAAAATCTTAAATTAAAATACTAACAAAGAACTCTTTTATCTCTCCAAACTTTGTTTTCCAAATATTTTATCGTCTCGAATCTACTTATAATCTACTATTTCTATCTATCATATATTTATATACATTGATTTTTCTTTATAGAACTAATTTCTATTAATTATGTATAAATATATTTTTTAAAATTTATTTATTTCTATTATATAAATTTTATTTTATATTGTTTGTGGGTTTTAGTTTTTAGGTTTAAATTTTTAATAGTAAAAAATTGAATTTGAATAAAAGTTGTGACATTTTGAATGTAAAATAAATTTATAATATAATTTTAATAATAATTATTATTATTATTTAATTTGATATTTTTAAAATAATAATAATAATTTGAATAGTAAACATAGAGGTAAAACCCACAAAAGAATGCAGTAATGTATCATGCCTACAAAAATTTTGTCACGCCAATATCATACGTACCACTATGTGTCATTTGTAGGAAGGTACTGGGAATGAAGTGTGGCATTTTTCTTTCCTCTCTCCTGTCTTTCTTTTTACCATGTTTGTAGAAATTTTGAAATTTCAATTTTTTCTATTTATAGTTTATTACTCTCTCTGTCTCCAAAAAAAGATGCAACATTTATTTTTGGCACGAGTTTTTAGGTAGGTAGTATTAAGTAGAATAATTTAGAAATTAGCTGATGTGATGGAGAAAGAATTTTATTTTTTTATTTGGATAATGTAAGGTGATAAAGTGTGAGTTAGAGATTAACTATAATTAATTATTTCATATATTAGAAATGTTGCATGGTATTTGAGACATATCAAAAAGAAAATATTGCAGGGTGTATGGGACGGAGGAAGTATAAAATATAGAGTACTTGTTTTAATCACTTATTAGATATATGCGATCATCTATACGAATATAAGTTTTATATATTTAATTAGAATTTTAGACTTCTGTCAAATATGTGTTAATAAAATTTGGATTGAAACAATTTCAAATTTTATGTGTAATTTATTCACTTTTATAATTACAACTATGTCTCAAAACTAATCCAAACAAGGTTATCTATGTTTCTACAATAGATTCTGCTAATTCTATTGTTGGACAAGTTCTTGTTAGTGAAGATGATAAAATATATAAAAATATTAATTTGAATATTCTTGCATATAGCCAATAGAAGGATAGTGAATGAAATATGGAATAAAATAAAAGAGTTTATAAGAAAAGAAAAAAAAAAAGAGTTAAAAAATAAATTGTGGATGAAAAAAATATTACAACTTGATGAGTTCAATGCACTTATGGTAAAGGAATCTTCACATAAATTTCAGAAGGGTCAACAACCAAGTTTCATTTGGATAGTTAGCGTTTAAACGAGCTTACTATTGGAACAAGTTCTTTTTTTCTTTTCATGCCACTGAATTTCTTTTAAAATAGATTACTTCAATTATCAATTATCGATAAAATCATGCTAAGGTACTAGAACTTGCATTCCATATAAATTTGGCCCATGAATATTATTTTTTTATAATGGAACATGTTGTTTCCAATAAATTTTGTAAATCTAATTAATCATAAGATTATATACATATTGTGAAAACAATTGTATAACTACATTTGAATATAGAAAAAAAAAAAAAAAAAACAATGTTAAGGGTTACAAAAATTAATATAACAATTGATTTGTGGAAATTGAATCAATATTTTTCACACGTGATGGTGACTTAACACTTCAGATATAACAATTGGATATTACAAAAGAGTGTGTTGAATTTTTATAAAATGTAACCCTCGTATACAAGTATCGTTATCATTATTGTTGATAAGCTTAGTAAAAATTTCATTAATTGAAAATAAAATATCTAATATTACAATTGACAATGCTTCTTACAATAATATGTATGAAAAAATTAAAATATGGTTTATTGTTAATAAAGCAATTAAGCGTGTTGTTGTTGTGCACATATTTTGAAATTTGTTGGTGCAAAATGATCTTAATGAAATTGGTTATGTGGTTGATTGTGTTCGACATTGAATAAATTATTTGTGTAATTATGAAGCTCGTCTAATTGAGTTTAGCAAGATAAAAAATAAATAAAAAAAAAAAAAATCATTGTCACCAAAGAGTTCTTTTTTTATTGTCCAAACACAATGGAATAGAACATATATAATGCTAGCTTTAACATTGTAGTTTAAATATCTGTTTTTAAAATATGTTGATATTGATATTAGATTTTTTTATATTCCAAATAAATTTGAGCGAAAGCAAGTGGAACATGTTTGTTAAATTTTAGGAATTTTTCATAAGATTACAAATATAATTTCTATCCAATTGGTGATACTTTTATGTTCGAATTGTATGGAATTAAAGAGCTTCTTAACGAGTAATGTATGTATCCTTCTTTTCAATTAGGTTTATGGTATCAAGAATTAGAAAAAAAATTGACAAGTTTAAGGGAGATAGTAATGTAAAAAATATCAACTCATTATTGTTTTTGTACTTTTTAAAATTTTATTCAATTTTTTAAAATGCTTCATCCGTTCCAAAAGAGTTGTTTTGTGTTTTTCATTTTCGTCCGTCCCAAAACAATTGTCTTGTTTTCTTATTTAGTAACTGTTGTCCCTACTTTATAACAAAATTATTTCTACATTTCCACACTGCCCCTAATTATTACTCTAATCAACTTTTAAAAATCCTTCAAAAAAAAAGTAAGAGCATTTTAGTCTTTTACATTCTACTTTACACTCGCTTTTAATTAAATACTATTATTCTTTAATTTTCGTGTCAACACCCAATAAGACGTCTCTTTTAGGACGGAGGGAGTATATGAATTTCTCGTTAAAAAGCTTTTAATCTAATATGAGGAAAAAATATTAACAATTGGATATTCAAACTCAAAAATCATATTTGTAATCTTATAAAAAATTCTTAAAAATTGACAAATATTTTCCAATTGGCTCCACTAAAATTCATTCGGAACTTAACGAAATCTACAACAACAAACATAAAATATCATTCCCTTAGTTCTTGATTGTTTTTCTCAACAACATTTTAAATCTCTTCACACTTCACATACACATCATTGTAAGAAACATTATCAATTGGGATACCGGACACTTTATTTTCAATGAAATAACACTTATATATATATATATGAGGGTGGCATAGGACAAAATTCAACATTCTTTGTAATATTCAATTGTCATCTACAAAGTGCCTAATTATCGCAATGTATTGAATTTTTTTGTTCGAATTCTACGAATAAATTGTTAGACTAATTATTCTCGAGTGCGAAAAAGAATCTATAGAATTGAACGAGAAGTTGAATGAGAAGCCGTACGAGGTAAACTCTTTAATATTGATTTCAATATTATTATTTTTTTTGTTTTTTGTTGTTTCAGTTTCGAAGTAATGCAATTATTTTTCAAAATATGCTTTAAAAATACTTATTGAAAATAACATACTCCATTATCAAAAAGGATATTTAATGAGCTAAAATAATATATGATGTAAATTCTCGTACCTTAGCATGGTCATACTGATAGCTGGCAATTGAAGATGGTTGTCGTTCCATTCCGAAATTCTTTATAAAGATCTCTTAACATCGAATGCATTAAACTTTTATTGACACATTAGATTGAGATGTATCTTTCATATATTGCCGCACATATGATTTCTTAATTTTTCTATAAGCTCCCTTATTTTATTCCATATATATATTTTTTCAATATTACGGTGTTGGCGGTTGGACTATCAGCAAGAATCTCCAAATCATCGCATCGTTCATCATCATAAACTTGTTCAATCGTATGGTCTAACATAATCCATTGTAGAGACGATGAATTTTATTGAGAATCGGTTTCGAACCGCAATTATAAAAGTTAATAAATCACACAAAGAACTTGAATCTGGTTTCATTCATATTTTATTAACACAAAATTTAAACAAAACTTTAAAACTCAGAGGTAAAAAATTTGAACTTATTCTTGTATAGATCTAACCAGTGACTAAAACAGATATTCTATATTTCACAATAAACTATTAATAGAAAAAATTGAAACCTCAAAGTTGTGCTTTTTGTGAATGTTACCGTATGTTTTTTACTGTTTAGACATCAAACAATTATTTTTCTTTTATATATTATACAACAAATTTATTTTACATTCAAAATATCAAATCAATCTATCTCTGTTTCTACCTCATCAAACAACTATTTAAATTCAACTATTTATTTTCCAATAATCTCACGAAACAATCATATAACTCGGAAACGGTGCACTTTTATCTAAATTATTTGTTTCTTACCATCCATTTACTTATAATAATAAAAATAAAAATAAAAAATCAAACTTAACCTGGCAGGCAGCATAGCATGTACACAGACACTGTACGTAGAAACTGAATTCAATTGATGGCATCTTCTACATCTGGCTTCTCCTCCAACAGCCTCTCCTTTGCCTCAATTGCCTGCACAACAAACAACCCAATCTCATCATCTCACCAAGAAGCTTAAGATATTACAAATATGATGGTTAATTACATATTATATAGAAATCAAAACAAGGATCAAAGATGACGAAAATAAAGAAGAAAACGAAGAAGTAGATGAGACCCGTTTATCCCAGTCGGTGCAGGCTGTGATCGCACCAAACAATGCCGTCTGCAATGCAGCGCCGGCCAACACCCCGATCCAAAGCCCACATCCTCTGAAATCCCACCAGAAACTCAGCACGGCAGCTACCGGAATGCCGAAAAGGTAGAACGCCACAAGGTTGATACACGCCCCGATGTGTTGCCAGCCGCAGCCTCGTGCAACGCCTGTGGGGGATTCAAACTTGTTAGAACATAATGTAATTTTGAGACGGCGTAGGCGGATAAAAATTGTGCTGGCCTGAGAGAGTCGCTTGAATATTGTCGACTACCACAGATGAACAGAGAAGAGGAGCCATGTTTGCAATGTAGTCTTGGACTTCCTTCTCGTTGCTGAAGATGCAGCCGACTAAATTCTTGCCGGCGAATAGGCTGCCACTGACGGCTATTGCATCTACAGCTGTGAAAAGCATCAGAGCAATGACGGATAGTCGCGCACCCTCGGGCCTCCCGGCGCCTAACTCGTTAGAAATTCGCGTGCTGGATGCATTACAAATTTACAATCCTTACAACTCAGATTTGATAAAATGTTATAAGACATAACAAGATCAAGCTGTTAAGATTTAAGAATACCTTCCAGCAGAAGCCAATCCCGTTGGAATCGCATATACCGTACAAATGACATTCAAGCTGTTAGGAGAAAGGGATATTAGACTATTAGTATATAACCTCAGCATTTATTCTTGCAAATGATACAAAATGTGTAGTTATAAATAGACAAAATTGTTTATAACTCATAAGTAGTTTGAAAACTACGCACTTTATTATGATTCAGAAACTATATGAGATTTTGTCGTGTTTTCAGTTTATTTCTTTTTCCTTACAAGTAAGATACCTCACAGACAGCACCGAGGTTTCGAGCTGTGGATTCGGCAGAAGCCCCGAGAGCAAAATAAGCAGTTCATACGACCACCATTCAAGACTGTAACAAATCAAAATCCAAGATATTAAACCATTCATTTCAAAACACAGATATCTCTAACATAAAGAGAGTTTAAGTGCAAAATACCAAATCATTAAGGCAGAAGGGACTGCAAAGGCAAAGAATGCTCGCACACCTTCAAACATCTTCATCGAAATAGGCGCACGGGTTCTAGCACAAGTAGAAGAGAATTTCATGAACAAGCCAAGAATGGCCACATTCAACCAGGTCGAAATCCCCATTGCGCCTGCTGATCCAAGACTGCCACATCCTGATTTAAAAACTAGCATCCAGCATACCATCGCGTGGAAACAGATTGTGATGCCGGAGCTTATCAGCATTGGAGGAATCAAACTCTGCATCTGATAGTACCGTGTAAGCGGCTGCAGTGATGCATACCCAAAAAGTGTAGGAATAAGCCACATTATGAATTTCCCTGCTTCGTGCGAAATCTCCGGATCTTGTCCAACAAACCTCAGCAAAGATTCCACATACATCCACACAATGGATATAGGAAAGCAGACTAAGATAAGACATAGTATTGCAGTGTAAGTCTGAGTTCCAACTTTGTCATAATGGCGAGCGCCGTAAGCTTGCCCGCTGAGCGTTTCCTGAGCACTCGCCATGCCTGCCTGTTCGACACCGGCATCAGTCTGTTATCCTAACATAGTTATACAATGCACAGACATTTCTCTTCAAAATTAGTGACAATATTAGGTATAATCTCTGTAAATATACTTATCTTCAAAATTAACTTTCCATCACTGATTTGTATGCATTTTTCCATAAGCTAACTTCCAGTTATAACACAAAATTGAACACATTACATATGCAAGCTATACAACAACAGAAAATCAATATAGTTTATAGCCACAATATTGGTAAATTACTAAGACAAGAGGCTTCAGATTTCACCAATTGAAATTCAACCAGAGGAAGCTATGAACGAATTCAAATCATCATATCAATCAAGCAACAAAAAGCACGAATAGAGAGATTAATTAAGCATATTTGAACGAAGTGAGCTGGGGGGGTAAAAAGAGTACGAGCAAGCTAAAACCAGTGACTCCGGCGAAGGAGATGGCAATGGAAGCGCTGGAAAAATGGAGCTCGTCCAAATGACCAACCATCATCAACGATACAATCTGCAGCGAAAATTGTGATAAAGTAACAGCCACCATAGGACCTGCCAAAAACCCCAACCTCTTCATCTCTGCCCATATCATGAACGTCGCTCCCCTCTCCGACACGATACCATTCTCCTTTGACGATAATAAACCTTCCTCCATCTCCGACTTCGATTCCGACTCTTACTCCGGCTGATGGAGCTCCAATGGATTCCCGAGTGACGGTACACTGCGGTGTGAGGTTTTATAACGGTGCGTGCAGTACCTCGTTCACGTGTTCGCCGCTAATGATGATCAAGGCTGTCATTATTATTTAATTGTAGATTTCATCGTGAAAATATTTTACACTTTTTTTTTTTTTAATTGTAAAATTAATTTTTAATATAATATTAAAACAATGCGTAAAAAATAAGGTTTGATTTTATTTTTAAAGAAAAAATTTGTAAGAATAATATTTTCTTTTTTCCGATGTAATAGTTTTGTTTATCATTTTTATTTGTTCCAATACAATATCTTATTTTTATAAATATTAATATCACCCTAAAATTTATCATACTTTTTCATTATTATTATTATTATTACACAAATACTACTAATTTTAACACTAATAATATACTTTTATTTCTATTTTTTTACCAACTAATGCTCAATAGACTATAGTTTTGGAACAGAATGAACATAAATTTGTCAAAATTCTTCAAACAAACACACCGTTACTTTTTTTTATTTATTTAATTCTTTTAAGTACTACCTTTTATAAAAATATTTTAAATAAAAAATAAAAATAAATTCAAAGTTATTAAAGTTATATATTTTCATTCAAATTTATGTTTTTTTTCTTTTGATATTATAAAAAAATATTGTTATTATTTTTTAATAAATTAGTATTTTTTTATTATAAAAATGAAAATTTTAATTATTATTTCTTTTAACTAAAAAATATATTTAAGTATTTGAACATATATTTAAATGAGAGATGTCACAATTAACAGTTAATAAATTGTGACAAAATAAAATTAACAATCCATTTGGACAAATGCAATACTCGTACTTATGTTTTAAAAGTAATCCGAAATTTTGAAGTGGTTGAAAATAACAAAAAAGTTAGATAACATTTTAATGTTTTCTATTTTAAATAAAAAATACTATATATTTAATTTAATTTTTTATTTAAATAACCGTTAATTTATATTTATATATATATATATATATTCTGATATATTCTAATAAACTATTTTATTCAATAATGAGGACAGAAATTCGTTTGAATTTTATGTTTTATTCATAAAAACTCTGACCTTAACCATTAGAAATTATAGAAGGACCAGGGATCTAAACACCGGATAGATCTACACACTTCGAACTGTAGAGTTTATATATAATGTACGGCACTGAATAATCTGGCGCGAGCTCCAGGTGTGATAGATGTGTGTCGAATGTTTATAAATTTAATATTTTGATTTACTTTATTAATTAATATAGTTAATATAATTAGCTGAATTAATTTTGTAGGCATAGCATGTGATCCATGGTGTTTCTTGTTACTATCGTTGACATATTATAGGAGATTTTCATTTTTTATTTAATTAGCTATATTTTTTTAAAAAAATAATAAATAAAATTTAAAATATAGTTGGTTGTATTTTAGGGGTTGTTGGCTTATTGATGATAATAGTCCAAAAATAATGAAGTTGCAATTTTATGTTACGTTTTGTTATTTTATATCATAATATTAATTATTTTAATTACGTTAGGAATATGCATAACAACAAAAAAAAAAAAAAGATTGATTGTTACAACGAACATGTTGATCATACAGAACTTCAAGTGTGTTATTTTATTGTTAATTATTAAAAATTGCAATATTATTTATAATACTTCACTTTCAAAATATATAAAATAATACCCGTTAGAGATGAACTTTTTTATTATGGACATGAATTTTTAGATAGCTTAGATTAGTGAGTTATTAATAATAAGTTATGATATTAGTTTATTATTTTTTATATGAATAATATTATTGGTATTTTAAAAATTTTTAAGATTATATCTCGAAAAAATATATGCAATATGGATATCATTTTGTAGATAATAAAATTTTATATAATACAAATAAATTTTTATTTATTTATCATTACCATAAATTAGTTTTATAAGAAATGAGAAGTTTTAAATATAGATAAAAAAATTATATTAATTGGGGAGAGAGATAGAAATAAAAGAGTTTTGAGTTGGTAAAATGTTAGAAATTTAATTAAATTGATTTATATTTTTTAAGTATGTTTAAGATTGATAAAATTACCATTTTATCTTTTATGAAACGTAAAAAAAAAGAAAAAATGTGACGCGACGGAGGGAGTATTTTATTATATTAAATAAATATTTTGATAATATTAATAAGAGTAAGAAACTAATATATATTAAAATAAATTTTATTTATATTTTATTTGTCGAATATAATTAAAAGAATAAATATGATAAAGATAAATACAACATACAATTTAATAATTTACTAATATAATATTATAATAAATAGGATAAGGTTGAGGTGATGATGATAACGTTAATGTTAATAATAATAATAATTTAATTATATATATAAGCAAGCAAAACAAATCCATTTACCTTGATTCGGAACCAGAAGCAACGTTCAAGAAAAGGAAAGAAGCGCGGTCGAGGAAGAAAGGAAAGAAAAAGAAAATATTAATTATCTTATTTCGATTTCGATTTTGGTAAAGTGTTTCTTAGTGTAAATAAAATTTAATTAATTTGATATTAATGAATTAAATTAGAATTTTTTTTGAAATTTTTAAATTGATTTTTTAATTGACGTAATTGTTTAGTTAATAGTTTATTTGTAGCACTAGCATTATATCTTGATAATTTTATATCGATCCAAGCGAAAATAAAAATGACAGTGTGTAACACCTGTTTATTTGTTTATATCTTTAAGAGTTTCTGTTTAGTAATGAGGCGTATATAAATATTATAAAATATAAATATTAAAATATCGTATTTTAAAAAATATAAAAATTTGAAATCCAGCAAGTTAGTTAGAAAATTAAGTTTTTGAATAAACAGATATATATTTGATATATATTTTATAGTATTTGATATATATATTTGACTGTTGGTGAAATTTCTAAAAAAAAAAATGACAGGTAAACTTCTGATAGGAAGGATATGTGATCTTTCTCACAAGCTCTTTTCGTTAAATTATCTCATTTCACGTATTACACACATATTGCATAATTTTATCGGATATGTTTTATAAAGCTATCGTTTAGCCATTATGTGTGCTAGTGCTAGGCGACAGTATCATATGAGGTTAGGATATTCGATTTCAATATACCGTATCACTTTGGCGATAGTAGATGATAATAATCGGATTATTGAATGACTTAATCACACAGTCATTCAGGGATCAAACTCATTGTAGTTGAAACATATTTGGTTTAATTATTCGTGATAGGTATTGTTCCACTAATTGGGCTGCTCACCAGTGAGGTCTACCGGTAGTTTAGGATTATATATCAAGCTCCAAATAATGATCCCGTCAAGGTGCGTGATTAGAAGTAAAGTTTTCAGAATTTCCGATTCCAGATTGCACAGATTCTACTAGTCTCATATTATAAAATAAAATAATACTCCCTCCGTCCCACATAATTTGTCCCTATTTTTTATTTTCGTCCGTCCCACATAATTTGTCCATTCCTTTTTTGGAAATATAATTATACACTTTAATCTCATTTTAAATTTTAAATCTTATCATTTTTTTAAATCTTAATTAAACTATTTAGTTATCTTAATCTTAATCCACAGATTAATCCACAATTATTTTTATTATACGATAATTATTTTTACTAATACACTTTTTAATTACTTACTAATCACATTTGACCTAAATTCTCATATCTACAGTAATAGACCCATAATACATGGGACGGAAGGAGTATTTTTTTGTCTGATTTAATAGTCTCATTTTGCTTAGTGTTGTTAGTAGGGTGTATTTTTTACACCCCAAATTCAATTTTTTTACTATTTAAATTTAAAAATATATTTTTTTTCACAAAATATTTCATTATATATCATTTTAATAATAAATTTAAATAAAAATTTCAAATCATATTAAAAAAAAAAACACACACACGCATACGCGGACACACGCCCCTTAAATAATGGATTTTCATTTATAATACTCCATATACTATAATTTTCATATCTTTTTAGGAGTAAAGTACTCTCTCCGGCCCAAAAGAAATGTCTTACTGGGGTTAGCACGAGAATTAAGGAATAGCAATATTTAATTGGAAGTGGGTATAAAGTATAATTTAAAAGACTAAAATACCTTTACTTTTTGAAAGATTTTAAAAAATAAATTAGGATAATAATTAGGGGTAATTTGAAAAAATAAGAATAATTTTGTTATAAAATGAGGACCACGATTACTAAATAAGGAAACGAGACAATTGTTTTGAGATAAATAAAAATGGAAAAACAAGACAATTTTTTTGGACAGAAGAAATATATATTTTCATTATTTTATTGTACGACTTATTTATAACATATTAATAATAAAATTCATATATTATTTTGTTTACCACTTATTTTTATTTAAAATGCTTAATTTTTATTTTAACCTTTTTACTAAAATAATTCAAAACTTCAAATACTATTAAAAAATAATTACTATTCTCTCGCTGCTTTTAATCCCGATAAAATTATGTTAATTTTATTGAATACAGAAGCTAAAAAAATAATATGTTTTAAAATTAAATTTAAATTAATTTAATAAATATAATAAAATTATAGGTAAATATAATTATTTGTAACAAATTTAAATCATGTAAACCAAAAATCATTATCTAATTTTAATACTATGTTCTACTCTAAAGTCACATTTATCTTTTATTTTATTATATTTAATGTTAAAAATATCTTTATATTTGTACATTTTTTTTAATAAATATACTTCTATTAATACTATATAAAACCCTAATAAAAATATTTTTATAATTTTTTTACTATATTTTAATATAATAATTAATATTCAAAATTAATGAACACAAAATAAATATGACATTTATGTTGTGTTCTTTATCTTCTGATTCTTATTTTCTCTCCAAAAGTATCACATCAAACAATTATTCTTTTTATATTATATTATAAATTTATTTTTCATTAAAAAATCACATCAACCTCTGTTTATATTACATCAAACAACTATTCAAATTCAAAATTTTTACTCGAATCGCAAACTAGTCCCATAAGTGAAAATTTTTTGTTGTTTTAGTCCTCCGGCGCCGGAGACGCCCGTGTGGCTCCCCGAAGGCCACGTGTCCTTCAGGTATCGCTGACCTGACGGACACATGAATTTTAATTTTTATTTTTTTAAAAAAAATTATTATTTTTTTAAATTTTTTTATTTAGTCCAATTTTTAAAAAAAATTAAAAAAATTAAAAAACATATATATAAAAATAAATAAAATCCACGTGTCCGTCAAGTGTCGCTGACCTAGTGGACATGTGACTTTCGGCGAGCCACACGGGCGTCTCGATGCCGGAGGACTAAAACAACGAAAATTCTCCAAATATAAAACTAGCTTACGACATACTCTATTTACGGAACTAAAATAATAAAAAAATTTAATTACGAAGCCAAAAAAACAGCTTACCGTTAAAGTGGTCAACAGGTACTCAAAAGTCCAATTCTGTTGGCTGGTGCCATTCAATGCCAATCTGTTAGGGTCTCTGTCTTACTTAACCCACTCCCAATAATAATTAGAAAGCTGCCAAAATGCATTACGTAACAAAAATCCATACCACATTTTTTTGACCCCAAAAAAAAAAGAAAATAACCAATCATTCGTGAAAGCGAATTTCAATTCACACAACCCTCTCTTCCGAGGCTAAAGTCGCACTCTCCTCAGCCAGCAGCCTCTGCCTTGCACCAATTGCCTTCACAACAATACCAAAAAAAAATAAAAAATATATATTTACACTTGCATTTAAAAAAAAAAAAATTACTGTCAGATGAATAGCGCCAGAAAATTTTATAAATTAACTGCATTTTTACAATACCTGTTTTTCCCAATTCGTGCAGCAAGTTATCACTCCGAACAATATCGACTGAATTGTCGCGCCGGCAAGGACGCCGATCCACAGTCCCCGGCCGCGTAAGTCGAGCCAGAAGCTGAGAGCAACGGCGATCGGTATCCCGAAGAGGTAGAACGCCCCGAGATTGATATACGCCCCAATGTGCTGCCACCCGCATCCCCTAGCTACGCCTGTTAAAAAATAATAAAGGCGTGAATTAGGGGATGCGTGAAAATACATGTGATTATGATGGATAAAATAATTTTATATGTTTAAACGGATTTATTTACCCGATAGGGTTCCTTGGGTGTTGTCGACTATAACGGATAACGAAACGAGCGGCGCCATTTTCGTGACGTAGCTCACGACCTCCTTTTCGTTGCTGAATATGTAGCCGAAGATGTTTCGGGTAGCGAAAAGGCTTGTGCTCACAACGACGGCGTTCATGCCCGCGAAGAGCATTAATGCGATCACGGCTGTTCGCGCCCCTTGCGGGTTTCCGGCTCCGAGCTCGTTCGAAATCCTCGTGCTATTACAACATGGGATTTCCGATTATCCGATTCACGATTAATGTAGGTAATGAAATGAGTCGTGAATACATTACCTTCCCGCCGCCGCCAATCCTGACGGTATTGCATACAGCGTCGAAATCGTGTTCAAGCTGTCCAAATCGACGGTTAAATTACCATTTCAGGTTAAATTACCATTTCATCTAAAAGTTTAAGCTTAGGAAAAAAATAAAAACATTGTACCAAACGGATAAAACAGAGGTTTCGAGCTGAGGATTAGGGAGAAGTCCCGACAGCAAAATCAGCAATTCATAAGACCACCACTCCAAACTACAAACAAATTCGAAAAATCTAAGAACAACAACTTCAAAATCATCAAAATTTAACAAAGAATCGAACTGATAGATCGAAAATTACCAAATCATGACAGCAGAAGGGACTGCAAATTTGAAGAACTCCCCCATTCCATCTAAAACCTTCATCGAAATTGGGGCACGCGTCTTGGCGCAGGCCGGAGACCATTTCATATACGCCACAAGCGCCACCACATTGAGCCACACCGACAGCCCCATAGAGGCGGCGCCGCCGACGCTGCCCATCGCCGTCCGATAAACGACAAGCCAACAGATAATTACATGGAAGACTATGGAGAAGCAGGAACTGGCCACAATTGGCAGAATCATACTCTGCGTCTGATAGTACCGTATAAGCGGCTGCAGCGCGGCGTAGCCGAACAGCGCCGGGATCAGCCAGATTATGTACCGGCCGGCCTCGGCGGAGATCGCCGGATCCTGGCCGATGACGGCGAACAATTTCCCGGTGAAGAGCCACAGAACAGAGAGGGGAATGCACACAATTATCAGAGACAACACGGCCGTGTGCGTCTGTGTCCCCACTTTCTCGTATTGCTTAGCGCCGTAGGCTTGCCCGCTTAGCGTCTCCAAAGCACTCGCCAAACCTAGCTGCAGTTGTACAAATTGTAAACAACACGCCCGTGTTCATTCATGTATATATATATATGTGTGTGTGTGTTTGTACCATAAAGCTGAAGCCGGTGACGCCGGCGAGGGAGGTGGCGAGGGAAGCGCCGGCGAGCTGGAGCTCGCCGAGATGGCCGACCATCATTAGAGATATAATCTGGAGGACGAATTGGAGAGAAGTGACGACGACCAAAGGCCCCGCGAGAAACCCTAACCTCTTTATTTCCGGCCATACGGATCTTCCTTCCTCATCTGGAAGCTTCTCCTTCGCCAACAAACTCTCATCCATTCTCGCGATATCGATAAATCCTATTTATTATAATTATTAATTTTCAATTCCTCAAATCGATACCGAAACCGCCGACGGAACTTTCAATTCCTGTTCGATCGGTTTCCCTGCAGCGATAGCGACGGGACGTGTAATTACTTCTGGCATAGAATTAATTTCCCAAACGAATCGACACCATTATTGAATTTGACAAAAACTTGAAAGTAGAGAGAGAGAGAGAGAGATGTTTACCTAGGCAATTAGGCGACGGCGTCCTGGCCTGGTTCAATTAGATAAAGAAAGCTATGGCTATGGCGGCTTTGGTATACGTCGATACAATCCAGGGAGAGGGTAGTCTTCACCAACTCTCACGATTTGTCTTCTTCTGGTCTACCATTTCTGTATATTATATGATTCTCTGTATATTTTACTCTTCGATCGAACTTATCTAAGATTTCTATTGTATCTTGGTTGCGCAAGTCTTATGCTTTGTTAGATATATATACCGGATCTATAATGGGTAATATTTGAAGAATATAAGGACGTGTTTGAAAATAATAAAAGTAATTATTTGAAAATGATTTTCTCAGATATTATATTTTAAAATTGTTTTCACAATAATATAAATATAAGAAAATATATGGGGTATGTTGTATAAAGAGTATGGCGGCAACAAAATGAAAATAAATGTATTTTCATCCCAATATAAAAATATTATTCATTATCTAATATAAAAATATATATATTCAAAAATATTTTTTAATTTCTTTCCCAAATTATGTTTATGATATAGTAATTTGTTTTGAATGAGAAATAAATATTACAAATATATGATATATTCAAAGTTCTTAACCATCTGTAGACTCCGAGATTATGGACATTAGATAAATGATTGTGTTTGATCTTGTTTATTATTATTTTTATTTTTTTATATTCTTAATAATATTAGTTAAAAATGTAATTTACTATTTAAAGCTGAACAAGATTTGCTGGTTAAAAAAGGAATAAATATAAATTGGTTTTATTAACTTTGACCTTTCCAAATTTGGTTAATAATGACTGCGTCTTGACACAATTCTTCATCCTAACCATAGATATTTCAATTGACGTTTGGGAATGGTTAAGATTGTTGGAAAATAAATAAATAAATAAAATAATGCAATTTTTGAATCATTTACAAAATTTCTAAATAGTTTGTAAGGCACAAATGAAAATATTTCAGCATGCAACACCAAAGAAATTATTTGAGCATATATAAATAAATTACAATTGAATGATGCAAAAAAACATTAAGTACAAAATGTCAAAATGAAATACTCCCTCCGTTCCGATACCGTATCTGCTACACTGTAGATACTAAGAATGGTGTAATTAGTAGATAATTAAGAATATATTAGTGAAAATAATTATCCTATAATATAAATAATTATAAATTAAGATTAAGATAACTAATTAGTTTAATTAAAATTAAAAAAAATAAAATTTAAAAATTTAAAATGAGATTAAAGTGTGTAATCATTTTCCAAAAAAAGAAAGTGATATGGTATGTGGGACTGACAGAAACAACAACGTGGACATGGTATATGAGACCGAGGGAGTATAAATTTTTGGGACCAAATGTATAAAATACTAAAGTACAATTTGTTATTAAATAACCGCCTTTTGATGTAACAAATTTCCGAGTATAAAAAACAAACAAATGATAATAATAATTGGTCTTACCATTTTTGGGTGAGAATAATTATTATAGATGATACACACAATGAGTGTGTGCATGCGGATGTGGCCACGTGGGTGTATATATTTTATGAGTGATATGTTGTATTTTCTTGGTCCCACATAAAATATACTATCCAGCTATAAGGGTCCTATTTATTTTTCACATGTTAATTTTTAAATATTAATTAATATATGAAAATATACTACAAATAAAACAAAAATAATAAAAAAAAAATACTTCTATTAATGTTTTATAATACTGTTATAATGATATTTTTGAAAAAATTATACAAATATAAGTATATTTTTAATGTTAATGCAAAAGCTAACTGAACCCTTAGAGCCGGATGGAGGGAGTATATAATTTTTAATTTTTAAATTTTAATTAAATTATTTAGTCATTTTAATTTTAATTTATAATTATTTTTACTATATAATAATTATTTAACTGATATAATTTTTAAAATTACTTACTAATTATATTTTATTTAAATTATCATGTCTATAATAACACAGACATATTATTCGGAACGTACATAGTATCTGGTTAAAGAAGTTGTGGGATGAGTTACTTATTTGAAGAATAAATAACCGAGATAGAGAATCGAGTAAACCTAACTTAGAATATATCCGCCAAAAAATTTGCTAGCATCGAACTTTTGCCATAGATTGGTGAATATATTATATTGTGATATAAATAGACGTTGATGTGATGTTTTAAATGTAAAATTGATTTTTTAGTATAATATAAAAAATAAAAAATATGTGTTTAATTTGATGTTTTTGTGGAAAAATTGGATGTATAGTGGATTTAAAATTCAATCTCCCAAACAAACACATATTTATATTTGGTCTTATTTATAAATTAGATTATTTAGATTTAAGTCTATCAAGTCTATTTTGTATTGTTTATATATAGATCATTTATTTTGACGATGAATAACATAATCTTATTATTTTTTCACAAAATTTTTAACATATAAATTACTCTATAAAATCATCCAAATTGACAGTGCACATATCGTGTAGTGTAAATTTATATATATTTTATATAATTGTATTATATTAATATAATTTATGTATTATTTATATTTATGTTGTATCTTATATTATTAAGTTGAACTTTATATATCAGCACAATATTTAATGCATTACATTTACGTGTCTACATTATTACAATTGGGTATAATATATTATTAAAAGTATTTTAACTAAAAATTATGAAAAATTAAATAGTAAAAAAATTGAAAGGAATAAATTACATTTTTTTTTGTTTCAACTAAAAATATTTTTTTATTATTTTTATCATTTCACCTAAAAGTATCTTTTTTATTTTATTTTAATGTAATAAAAATAATTATATAACAATACTAAAATACAATTATATATAATTATATATACATAATATAAAAAAATAAAATAAAATTATTTATATATTTTTAATAATTAATAAAATATTATTATTTTATAATTATTTAAAATGATTTATTTGGACCGATACGGAAAGAGAATAATATTTGCATGCTCGAGATTGACAACCTGTCTTAAAAAATGATTAGATGTTGGATATGGATCACAATCAGTACAATGAATGTCCACTACTAATTAAGACCTGAATAAAGTGAAAAGATATATGCAACTACCATGTCATAAATTTAATTTGAAATTCATTTCTATATAATTATTCCGTCGATCTCATATACCGCGTCTATTTTAGGAGGAGTATAATTAATAGATAATTAAAAATATATTATTGAAAATTATTATCTTATAATATAAATAATTATAAATTAAGATTAAAATAACTAATTAGTTTAATTAAAATTAAAATAAAAAAGTTTAAAATGAGATTAAAGTGTGTAATCATTTCCAAAAAAAGAAAGTAACATGGAAGGTGGGACGGACAGAAACGGCAACGTGGACATGGTATGTGAGACGGAAGGAGTATTTTAGATGAGAAAAAATATGTTCATTAAATTCAAAGTATACAATTTTTTTAATAGATTAAAAAATACGCTTCAATCAGTCCGCCTCTAAGGATCATATTTATATTTTGCATTATTGTATTTAATAATTAAAAGTATTTTTATATTTGTATAATTTTTCGTACAAATATCATTCTATTAGTATTATAAAACACTAATTGAAGTATTTTTGTATTTTTTTTCTTAATTTGTACTAAGTTTTGATATAATAATTAATATTCAAATATCAACACGCAAAAAACAAATAGAGCCCAACGAATATAGTAATATTTTATTCATCATTAAAAGGGTAAGATAATATTGATATTTCTATTACTACTATTTTTTAAAAAATTACAAGTATTTTGATATTTGTACATAAGTTATTTTAATTTAATAAAAAAATTTTTTTTTAAAGGAACAGACAAAAATAATAAAATAGATACATTGAGTTAGACGATAAAAATATATTTATATCATATTAAATAATTTATTTCCATAAAATAAATAAATAATTTGCTCTTTTCATTTTTTTTATTACTCGTACTTTCTACAAAAATACACCAAACTATTTTCTTAAATAAGAATGTTGAGATATTTTATATATTCAGTTTTAGATTGAATAGATTTATATCTTAGATTTGATCTTATTCATAGATTAAATTACTTAGATTTGAGTCTATCGAATCTGTTTTATATTGATCAATAAAACAATCTCATTATTTTCCCCCAAAATTTCTAACATGGTATCAGAGCCTATTTTTCTCATGCCGTAGATATAGTCTACCAACCCGTGTTTCTCCGGGTACACTCAACCTGGATTGTACCCGGAAGTCCTGTGATTTTGAGATCATGTCTTTGCAAGTTGTATTTTTGTAAATTTGTCTCGTCTCCGATCTGTCATCTGTCCGCTGCTTGTTTGTTGCCTATGTGCAATATAAAATCTTCGCTTCTTGTCTGTTTACTGCGTGTGATCTGAAACGATCTGTCATATGTCGTTGTCTGTCTGTTGCTGCGTGCGATCTGCCAACTATCGTTGTCTGTCTGTTGCTGCGTGCGATCTGCGATCTGCCATTTGTCGTTGCTTGTCTGTTGCCTGCGTGCGATCTGCCATCTTTCGTTGCTTATCTGTTGCCGGAAATCTGTGTATGATATGCCATCTTTTTGCTGTTTGTCTGTTCCCTGCGTGAGATCTGATCTGTCCGATATTTGCGATTATGATTTTCGGCTCCGGTGGAGCGTCATCTCGTTTTTCGGCTCCAGTTGAGTCATCTCATTATCGGCTCCGGTGGAGCATCATCTCGTTTTTCGGCTCCAGTGGAGTCATCTCATTATCGGCTCCGGTGGAGCGTCATCTCGTTTTCCGGCTCCGGTGGAGTCATATCGTTTTCGGCTCAAGTGGAGTCGTGTTGTTTTCGGCCCCGGTTGAGTCATGTCGTTTTCGGCTCCGGTGGAGTCATGTCGTCTTTTGCTCCAATTGAGTCATGTGGTTTTTTGCTCCGGTGGAGTCATGTCGTTTTTAGCTCCGGTGGAGTCATCTCGTGTTCGGCTTCGGTGGAGTTATCTCGTGTTCGGCTTCGGTGGAGTCATGTTGTTTTCGGCTCCGGTGGAGTCATATCGTTTTCGGCTCCGGTGGAGTCATCTTGTTTTCGACTCCGGTGGAGAGTCATCTCGTTTTCGACTCCGGTGGAAAGTCATATCGTTTTCGGCTCCGGTGGAGTCATCTCGTTTTTTGCTTCGGTGGAGTCATATCGTTTGCTCCGGTGGGTGGAGAGTCAACTGCTAATTTTATTTATGTTTTCTTTTTGCGTTTGTATTCAAATTTCTCATCAAACTCAAGTTGGTTTCTGTTATACCACTTGAGTTTGAGGGGATGTTGAGATATTTTAGATATTCAATTTTAGATTGAGTATATTTATATCTTAAATTTGATCTTATTCATAGATTAAATTAAATTACTTAGGTTTGAGTATGTCGAGTCTGTTTTATATTGCAATATATATATAGGCTCTTTATTTTGATGATCAATAAGACAATCTCATTATTTTCCCCAAAAATTTCTAACAAACGAAATACACAAATCCAAAAAAATCATATATCGAATATATTTATATGGTTTTAATTTATATTTGATAAAGTTATTGGCAATGGTTACAACTACTTTTTTTCCTTTCTTTCTTTATTTAATTTCATCTTTATCTCTATTTTCTATTTTAAGCAAAATTTATAATTAGTCTTATTTAAAGGAAAACAAAAAGAGATACTATAATTCAAATTGGAGTTTGGATTATGTTCTGATTTTATCAATTTATCCTGTGAATTAATCTTAATTATTCAATAATTTTAATTAATTAAAAATAATTTAATTTATTTACTTATGAACTATTGTAATTGTTTTCAACATAAATTGATCAATATTAGTTTGTCAATCAACAATCAAATAGACTATGGGTCTGTTTCTCCCCGTCTCGTTCGGGGAAAAACATTGTGCTGCCGGTTCCCTAGGCAGACATTCGCTGCAAATGGAAGCAAAAGTTGCATTTTTTCTTTAAATATTATATTTATTTAATATTTATAATAATTATAGGGTAAAAAAATATTATATAATATAAATGTCATTTTGTAAAGAATAAAATTTTGTATAATACAAATAAATAAAAATTTAAATATATATATGTTTGGTATAATATTAATTCATAATCAAATTATACAATATAAATTTTATCCATTAAATTTAATACACATTTATATTATTTTATGTATTATCCATCAAATCAATACACATCAAAATTCCTCAAACACCAACCAAATCTAAACATAAAAAAAAAAAAACAAAAAAACTCAAACCCATCTCAAAATTCAAATAAAAACTAAACTAAAACTCAAATTCCCCGAAACCCCTCTGAAAAAACACACCCTATATATCCTGACATCTTTGTAACAAAGATATCACATAACAAAATATGTCATATAGTGTGACACGATTGTATTTATACCCTTAATCGGTATATAAAAAATTATTTCTCAACACAGTAGTTAAATTAAAGTAATATGAGCTACATCGATTATTACTATGTATTATTAGTTCATACTATATATTTTTTCTGTTTCATTTTAAATGATATTTTTTTATTAGGAGTACAATATTTAAGATGATCATATTTAATTAGTTAATAATAGTAATTATGATATAATTTTATTATTTTTTAAGTAATAGATATTATTAATAATTTTAAAATAAAAAATAATATGTATGTGTACAAATCAATTCAAAACCAAAATCAAACAAACATATACATGTGTCAATCTATCAATAAAAAACAATTGATTCGTTGGCAGAGTATTAGGTTCGACAGAGAATTTACTCAGTACACACTTTTGGATAATTGTTGCGGATTCCCGGATCGTAGTAATAATAATAATAATAATAATAATAAACAATTGATTCTATGCGGTAAGAACATGTGTACAAAAAGTCACATGAATAATTCATGCACTTTTTGTTAGGTTGTTATTCCGTATCGGATTACAGATAATACTTACTATATTTTTAACTTTTAATTTTTAATTTTAATTTTTTTTTAAAAAAGTGAGATCTACTTATTATTTTATCTCTATTTAATTCACTCACATAAATAAACTATATTTATATATTCCAAATGCTCTAATTTTCTTTTATAAATAAAAATAATTTAATTTAAATGCTAAAAATTTTGAATTTGAATTATTGTACGATGTAATATAAATAAGTGTTTATATAATGTTTTGAATGTAAAATTGATTTTTAGAATAATATAAAAAATAAAAAAATAGATGTTTGATTTGATATTTTTGAGGAAAAATTCCGGATGAATAGTGGATTTTTTTTTTGCAAAATTCCTCAAACAAACAAATTATTTATGTAAAAAGTAATAGCATATGTAATTAATATAAATAATTTATGTAAATAAACTTTTTCTTCGCGAAGTTCTTGTTGCTTGTTGTATTTCAAATATGTTTGGCTCGATCCGAGCATTATTTTGTCATCTCGTTCTTTATTGTTCTTAATCATCGAACAAATATGCAATTTTTTTTTTTTTTTTGATCCGAAAATATGCAAAAAATTTGAACAATATAACAAGATGTTTGTGGTTTTACAAATCATTTCCAAATTTCATGTCTTGAGAATGATGTTAGAGGATGTTTGATGTAGAGAAATAATAATATTTTTATTTTTCTTATTTAGTCGAGACAGAGAATTGCATTTCTCCTTCGTGTGTTGAAAAATTAAGAGAAATAAAATTTAAAGAATGCAATGTGCTTATTTATTATTATTTTTTATATTTAATTTTTACAATTTAATTTATATTTATTTGCTTTTTTTTTTTTTACTTTCTTACTATTATTTAATTTTTATATTATTCAAATCTCATCAAATATCTATCTAAATTATTATTAAAATAGATTATCAAACTAAAATTGTAACTAAAAAATACAATAATATTTTCTTATCTATTTTATCATTTTTAATGATCATTTTTTTATTTTTTTCCAATTAGGAATATAGTGTATTCTCTGCAATTTTCATAATTAGTATATATTAATATCCAAATTGTAGTATTATTGATTTTATAAATTTAATTTAATACATATTTTTATTAACTATCAAATCAATACACATAAAGCCTTCAAAATTCAAACCAAATATATAAATAGAAAGGATACAAAAATCCATAACTATTCTAAAATTCAAATCCAATTCAAACCCAAACTCAATTTTCCCAAACTTAAAACCATTAAATTCTGTATTTGGAAGGGAGTTTGATGATTTTGGTATCTGCTTGTTTTGCATTTGGAGTTCAAAGTTGATAGTAGATTTTATTTTATTTTTTTAAGTTACTTATTTATTTTATAAAAAAATGGGATTTATGTGTAATTTTATTCTCATAAAAAAAAAATAAAAAAATCATATTAGAGTATTATTTATTAAACTATAATTTTTAATTAAATATATATTATTACACTATAACTGATGAATTTACAATTACCGGCCAACTACTTAACAACAAAACTGAACTTTCAACCACACACACCCTAATTTGGTGTGTTTGTTTGAGGAATTTTGTTCGAAATCCGCTATTCATCTTAATTTTTTTTTCCAAAAATACCAAATATCAAATACTTATTTTTTATTTTTTATATTATTTAAAAAATTAATTTTACATTCGAAACATTACATCAACACTTAATTATATCGCATCATACAACTATTACAGTTCACAACACACACCCGAAGAGTATACAAGAGCATAATAAGATGTTATTCTATTTTACGGAAGCATTGCATCAAAACTAATTCAGGATTAACCATTAAACTAATTTTGTACAGAAAATGAATATATGTTTTATTAAAATAATGTAAAACAACAACCCCAATAATAATAGTATTTTATTATTCAATAAAAATATATAAAATAATTTTGACATTTTATCTTTATAAGTACAAAAAAAAAAAAAATTTATAAAAAAAATTGAAAATATTTTAATATTTGTATATGAATTACTTTATTAGAAAATAGTCAAACAAAAATTGTAAATAAATATATATTGAATCGAAATAATATCTCTTTATATTTACTGAATTAATTTATATATAAAAAGTAAAATATTTTTTACCTACAAAACATAACCAAATATTATTAAAATATAACCGTCCGTCTCTAAGGGTTATATTTGTATTAACATTAAAAATATTATTTTATTTGTATTTTTTTTTCAAATATTTTTTTATTAGTATTATAAGACACTGATAGAAGTATTTTCGCCATTTTTCTTTGATTTGTACTACGTTTTGATATAAAAATTAATATTCAAATATCAATATACAAAAAAAATAAATATGACCCTTAAAACCGACTGAAGATAGTATGTATTAAGCAAGTACTTTTAGAGGGATCTATTTACCTAATGAAGTAAACAAAACAAATACTCTCTCTGTCTGCTAAATTTATTCTCACTTTCCTTTTTAGTCCGTCCACTAAATTTATCAAATTACTAATTTGTCAACAAATCAACATTTAATTATTATTCTTCATTCAACATTTAATTATTATTCTTCATTCAACATTTATTTACAACAAATACCACTAACTTTATTACATTCTCTCTGTTTATTTGACTTTTTAATTAAATTTTTAAAAATACCATCAATTACCTATTATTTTTTAATAAAATATATATATTTTTTAATTTTCGTAGCGAGCCCAAATAAGCTAATTTTAAAGCAGAGTAAAATTTAAGACTCATTCATACATAGTACTGTAGTTTATATGAGCCCAACAATATATAGTTACATCAAATTTGCTCATACATACCTAAAAAATTTAAATTAACAGTCTGACCCAACAAATACAGAATATGATCCAATTTAGTCCAGGCCCATATACAATAAATAAATTCTCATGTCGGCCCAAATCTATTTTATTTTATTATTATTTTTAATTTTTAGGAAACAATGTCCAGATGCGAACACGACGACCCTCATTCGTTTCGGCGCTGGTGGTAGCCTTCGCCACCACGAACATTTTCTGCATCATCAAGCTTCCATTTACTGCGGTATTCATTGATTTCTTCGTATGAATGTGCTCCGTTTTTTCTCCCATTGACGGAGCGATTCCATCGCAGAATGAACCTTTGCATCATAGCTTCAAAATCTTTGATTTCGACGAAGAACATCGGCTTCTTGTATTACGTCAGTGTCAAGGTACGCTTTATCCTATTCTCTTCTTCCGCGCGCCATTTTCACTGCTCTTCGGAATTGAACAGCGATAGTTGCAAGGCTGAGGGAAACAGTGGTAATAATGGAATTGACGTTAAATCCTCCTACGGAATTTGCAAAAATCTAATACTAAAAACAGTTGCGGAAAACCCTAGGGTATTTAGGAATAGACACCGCGCTGTTCCGGATTATTTTAACGCTTTGGTGTTGGATTCCGATTTGTTTCTGAGTGTAATTAATTCAATTCGTAATCGGCCGAGATTGGTGCTGAAGATGTTTCGTTGGGCTGAGGTTCAGAATGGGTTTAAGCATTCTAAGTATGTATTTTGTGTCGTGCTTGAAGTGTTGGTGAGAAATGGTTTATTCAGATCTGCTTATTGGGTGTTGGAGAGGGTTATTGATGTTAATATGCATAGCATTGTTGATTTATTGATTGATGAGTATTTAGAGAAAGAGATATCATGTAAAGTGCTTGATTTGGTATTGTGGTTGTACACGAAGGAGTCGGATGTCGAGAGATGTTTGTCATTGTTCGACAAGATGGTGAGGAGTGGTAAGCTGCCGGATGTGAAGAACTGCAATAGGATTCTTAGGATACTTAGGGATAGAGATTTAATTGTTAAAGCCAGGGAAGTGTATGATCTCATGGGTGTGTTTGGGATAAAGCCGAGCATTGTAACGTACAATACGGTGTTGGATGCATATTGTAAGAATGCAAACATACAGCAGGCGTTGGATCTTTTGCTGGAGATGCAGGACAGGTGTTGTTCGCCTAATGACATTACCTATAATATTCTGATAAATGGATTGTCGAAGAAAGGTGAGTTTGAGGTCGCAAAAGGGTTGATTGTGGAGATGCTGAGTAAAGGGTTGAATGTTTCGGCTTATTCGTATAACTCTTTGATAAGTGGGTATTGTCAGAAGGGGATGCTTGATGAGGCAGTGGGACTCGAAAAAGAGATGAAAATGAGGGGAGCTTCGCCAACAGTACCTACATATAATGCATTTATGCACGGCTACTGTAAACAAGGGAGAGTTAGCTATGCAAGGCAGTGGATATCGGTCATGGTGAAGAAGAATTTGTCTCTGGATTTGATTTCGTATAATATTCTGATATATGGGTACTGTCTGTTGGGGGAGATATCTGAGGCTCTTGTCTTGCTATCAGAGCTACGAAAAAGGAATATATGTCCATCTGCTGTTACATACAACACAATAATTGATGGGCTTTCTCAAAATGGGGATTTAGAACGAGCTAAAATGTTGAAAGATGAAATGATTGATAATGGAATTTATCCTGATGTTTTCACCTATACGATTCTCATTAATGGTTCGTACAGAGTGGGTAATCTATGGATGGCGAAACTGCTTTATGAAGAGATGCTGTTGAAAGGTTTGGAGCCCGACCGAGTCGCATACACAACATGTATAGCAGGTGAACTGAGGCTAGGAGACGTATCTGCTGCCTTTAAATTGCAAGAAGAGATGTTAGCAAAAGGATTCCCGCCTGATGTAATAACGTACAATGTATTTGTCGCTGGAATTTCGAAATTGGGCGACTTAAGTGAAGCTTATGGACTGTTGCAGAAAATGATTCAGGATGGAATTATGCCGGATCATGTTACATATACAAGCATCATCCATGCTCACTTGGAAATCGGCGAGCTTTGGAGAGCTCAAAAATTGGTTCAGGAAATGCTGAGTAGGGGTTTGTCGCTGACGGTTGTGACATATACCGTATTAATTCATGCACATGCTGATCAAGGAAGGCTAGACCTAGCGTATATATATTTCTTTGAAATGCAGGAGAAAGGTACTACCCCGAATGTGATCACGTACAATGCCCTACTAAATGGCCTCTGCAAATTTGGGAAAATGGATGAAGCTTCCGAGTTGATTTCGGAGATGGAGTTGAAAGGAATATCATGTAACAAATACACGTACACCATTTTGATAAATCAGCACTCTGATCTCGGTAATTGGCAGGAGGTATTGAGGTTGTATAAAGAAATGCTGGATAGAGGAATTCAGCCTGATTCCTGCACGTATAGTGTGATGTTCAAGCATTTGAGAAAAGACTACAGATCGCTTGCAGGAAAAGAACTCGAACGCATACTTCTAGATGATAGAGAGGCAGATGAGGCTGTTACTTGAACATTGCTGCTCGGCTAGGCAAATCTTGAAAACTCCTGCTCTTCCGCAGTACAGCAGGCTCTGGATGGATGCTTTACCAGGCACAAGTAGTTATGCTCGATATTTTGCTTAGTTTTAAACCATCTTTTTTTGCTGCTTACGTGCTTTTTTATAATATCTTATTCTAATTGTGCTTACGGATGGGCACATGAAAATTTGTGTTCCTTTAAAATTTTGGTTGGGGGTTTGGAAATAGTAATAATAATTTGAATTGAAATAGTATTTGATATGATATAAATAGGGGTTTGATTTGATGTTTTGAGTGAAAATTAATTTCTTGTGATATATTAAATCAAAATTAGGTGTTTCTTTACGGTTTTAGGGGAAAATTTGGATGAGTTGTGCAAGAACAAGACCAAAATCAAACATTAAAGAAACAAACCACTTGATTCTTATGTCGAACATGTCTCTCCCTGTGTGTGCATATGGACTATAGCTGTTTGTCTACAATCTGGTGTTCTATGTGCATTTGCCACTTTATAAAGTGTCGTGTACTTATATCTTTGTATCTTTGTATATGTAAAGTTTCTAGTACTATGACTAATTATGTCCTTGTAGGTACATAGAATCTTATTTTTTGTGAAATGATTTGATATAATTGTAGACCTGAATTTATCGTTGCTGGATTTGTTTGTTTTCCCTGTTCCAATATAGCTTTGTTTTTGGGTTTATTGCAGGGGACTTCCCGCAGGCAATGTTTAGCATTATTACATCACAAGCTGTCATCCTCGATGTCTGTTTTTGAACCACTTAGTTGAGCTTTTTGATTCCTTTCGGTGATGGTCATATAGCTCTGAAACTCACAGAAAAATACACACCTCAGATTTTGAAGGTTCATTTTCAATGCATCCATTATGCTTCAGCACCCTACACTGTTGTTTTGTCCATGGCTTATGTATTATTATTGCAGGCCACTCATATCACACGTTTGTTTCGAGGATCTGCTTTCAGTGCCTGAAATTTTATCTGGTATCTCCCTGTTGACAAAGCCGGAAACTTAAACTTGTGCCAGAGTTGATTTCCTACTTGGCTGTGCATATCATCCTCCCAAGAATTCCGTGCTAAGGAGAGTTTCAAAGGTTAGTGAATGAATTAAAGTACATTTAGTCATTCGAACATTGTTGGTTTACAGTTACTCTGTGATTTGTTTTCCTCCGCCTATGCTTAGACCATCTCCAACCCACTGCATTTTCCAACCCACCCCCAAATCCCCCCATTTTTGCAGCAATCAACAGTGTTACTCCATTTTTGGAGTGGAGTTTTTGTGGTGTTTTTTATATTTTTGGTATTTTTTTAGTGTATTGTGTAATTTTAATTTTTTAGTAGATGATATATAATTTTATATTTCAAAAAGTTGTATGTAATTTTATTTTTTTTAAAAAAACAATGTATAATTTTATTTTTTTGAAAGTGATATAATTTTATTATATAATGATTTAATAGAGCATATATGGGAGCAATATAGTAACTCCATTGAATAAATATGTCTTATTTTATTTGAACTATTTTGTAATGTATGTTTTTGTAATAAATTGTTATGAAATAATAATATTATGTTATCTTTGTTTAATTATTATGATCATATTTGTCTTGATAGTATTTAATTATTTATTTAAAATTATTTATTTGTAATAGTTATTAATTATAAATATTAATTTTTATATATTTAATTTTTAAATTTATAAATTATATGTGTATGGATCGAATGTAAAAAATAAATTAAAGTTGAGGTTAATTTATAAATATGAAAAGTTATATAAAATAATATAAAAGAGGAATATATAGGGAATATACTTTTTAGAGTAAAAATTGAAGTTAATGGTTGGAGTAAAATTACTGTAGATCAACTGCATTTTTACTGTAGCAACTACAAAAATGGAGTGGAGGGTTGGAGATGGCCTTAATGCTTTTAGGCATATTGGAACGAAAAATCTTTAACTGAAAATAGGAAGAACTTAATTCCATTCCATCGAATCGCAGGTTACTTTATTTCACTAATGATTCTCCATTCAGGTGTTACTTCATATTTTTCTGAATTCTATCCGTTTAGAAAGAAGTTCTGAAAAAAATTGGGAATTATACAAATTTGAATATTTGATTTGACATTTAGTGAGAATATCTTACACGGTCTTTTTTTTTTTTTTTTTCCAAAAGTGTCTTGTGTAAAGAGATACTAATGATGTTTTGAGTCATTTTGCATTGTTACTTGTTTATTTTGTATGTATTTTTGGGGCTTATTATGAAGATAATCTTTACTACCGGGAGATTGTTTTATTTTTACCATTACAAAAAACAATTTTGCTTGTGACGACAGACTTTCAAAATATGCCTCGAAATTGACATGTGAATTACGTAATGCAGGGCGACAATAAGGTTACTGAAAAATCAATGCCTTTTAAGCAGCCACAGCCGGGGATCGGCTTCTACCTCGACCACCACACGATAAATAAACTTGCACAGGGCGGCGATCGAACAATACGAGTGCCACAGAGCTCTGAGAAAGAAGTAGTAATTTCCTTGCTGGATGTTTTGATGTGTACAGCACAAATGTTGGAGGGATTCCTTAACTCGGAAATGGTTCGATTCTTTTAATGTTAGGTAAGAAAAGCATTCAATTTAGGTGCACCTGTGTATTCCATTCATTCATTCATGTTATTCTTGGTTTGGTTCTTACACTCCACCAGCCAACTGTAATGTTGTATGTAAATGTGTCTCTTTCTGTTAGCTGTAAAATAATTCTGCCCTTAGCATATCATTTATCATATCATGTGGGGATCCCTTTTTGGCAGTCACATGTATTAATGAAAAAGGGGTTTTATTCCTTCACTCAATCATGTGGCTTAACAAACTTTTGGGACATATTTAACGGCAGATATAGTGCTGAATTTAAAGTTGAATTCTAAATTCAACACTGTGCTGAATATTACGATGTAATAACAAATTGTATACCTTGTTATTTTTGTCAACACATCATTTATATTAATATAATATATGTAATAAGAACATTTGATATTTGTATATATTATTGGTGTTTATTCGAGTGGGAACAACATAATTTTATATATTATAGATGCTGATTTGAGTGATAACAACAAAATTTTAAATTGGAATAGTACTAGTAATATAATTCAAGAAATTTGGGATCCAAAAACATGCTTATAATTCAAGAAACAATGAATTTGTATATCTATTGAAAAGGAATGAGTTGCAAGAGTTTCTTGCAAAAATGGGAGGCTACGACGAACGAATCGCGGGCTCTAGACCGACAAATGTGAGATCGCTAACCTACGAGGACGAGGCCGACATTTACAGCGACGAAAGAATTCCCGGTTATTTACACTACAACATGTTAAATAGCAGAGATCCAAATGATGCGCGAAACAAGAATCGAATTAACCTATTGTAGCTTTCTCTTCATCGATCGGTGTAGTTGCCACGACCACGCTCCCAAGAATCCCACGAGCCCGATTGCAGCTGATGTCCAAAACACAACCAGCCATCTCGGCATAGAGTTCGGGAAAAGCCCTGTTAAGACATTGTTCAATTTCATTACACGGTTCGAACCATACATATCCGAAAATGAAGAAAAAGTTGATAGAATTCACACCATGTCCGAACTTAATGCAAATTAGAAGCTCGACAATGCAGATAGCGAGCGAAAGCCAACAGAATGCCCCGACTTTTTTCACCAATTTTCTGAAAATAACAACATAGAGACAAACATAAACAAAGAAAGTAAAAATACGGCGAGAACATATGATTAGATTGTCTCATGTAGTCCTAAAAACATCAAGTTTATTACCTGTTTTGCAAGTAAGAATTGTACTCGCGAATCGTTGGTATCGCGATGAGCCACCACAAAACGAGCCTATAAATTATGAGGGGATTCCGCGGCGGGATCCAAAGACAAAACTTCAGAAAGAATGTGTTGAGCTCAACCGTCAAGAACGCTATGCAAAGACTCAAAACTTGAACAAATCGTAACGGGCCAAGAAACGGGTGCCACTCGTCTCTATCCCACCTCGCCGGCGTAAACTGACCCAACGTTCGTTTCACCTTGAAAAAAAAAAAGAAAAAACCCGAATCATATTTTTCACGACAACACATAATGTTTGTCTTAACGATGACAAGTCGTGAGCCAACGTACTTTGCCCATGATGTTAGGCTGCCGGCTAATCCCAACCCACTCGTACGTCTTACCATCAAAATAACGAACCGTGCGCATTCCCGACCAAATACCTTTCAAACGACAATACGAACAATACATAAGAATCAAATAGCGTAATTACCAAAAAGGCGCAAGTTCGAAAATCTTACCAAACCAATTACAGATAAATACATCAAGAACGATGCTGTCCCACCAGCACTCGTTGAAGTTTGGCAACATATGTCGAAAGGTAAACTGAAAACAACAAAAACATCCATTGTAACGAAATGTGATTGATCGAAAATTGAACCCGAGCAGAGTTTACGAGCTAACCTCCATCAATTCGAATCCGATGGAAAGTACCCAAAGAAGTGGCTGATTTCGGATCATTATAGCTTTTCCCCACCACCCGAGAATATGAGCCAGAACAAACTCGTCGAAAAGTGTTTCCTGAAGATCAATTAAAAAATCGTATTTCGATATGAAAGGGAACGTCTAGCCGCGGCGAATAATGTGAAGAGTTTGATATTTTTTAATAAACCGAGTAAAACATGGATAACATACATAAACATTCTTAAACCTGCTTGTGGGATCTTCGGGTGTGTAAATTCGGCAATCAGCGCCGTACGATCTTTCAGGAAGCTCTGCAACGAATAAATAGAATCAATTTAGCGCGCGTCCGATTGGAGGAATGCAAATGGCGGGAAAAGAAACGGCGGAAAGGTAAATGCATACCGACGCCAAGATCCGGGTGCAAGAATTTCATAAATTGCCGTGCATCATCACGCTTCTTGAAAACAAGAGTTAAAAGAAGTTCATCAGAAAATACGTGTAAGAAAAAAACAGCATCGAAGCTGACGTAAATTGATTCGAGAACTAACCTGAAAAAGCAAAAAAGTTAACGCGACGAGATAAATAACGGCCATTCCATGAACGAGACGCCAAATTGCAGGATGTGGCCGAATAAGTACCCTGAAAAACAACGATAACATCATTAAACATTACAAAGATCTTTTACAACTGATTGCAATTACAAAACACATTTAGCAAGTCGATAAAAAGTTGAAAAAAAGAAAGAGGTTTACGTCGAAGGGGCTTGTAATAAGCAATAAGCAAGAAACACGGCAATCATCGCCCAAACACCCCTGCTGATCAAGTTACACATGTAAGAATTCATTAAAGCTGAAATCCAAAACACAACCTCGGAAAATTCTTAAAAACATAAAAAAAAAATCACGCACCTCGTCACTGAGGTTACAACATCATGTTGCAAACTCCGTTCAGGATCGAGCGCGCCGCTAGCCCATCTGGTCCGAGTTCAACCAGATCATGTTAGGAATCCAAAATTCAGCCATAACAAAAATATGTATGTATATATATATATATAGTCCCTCCGTCCCAATACAATAGTCATTGTTTATGATTTTTATCTGTCCCAAAACAATAGCCTCAAATACTCGTATCATCATAAAACTACTCATACTTATTTTTTCATTATTATTACACAAAATATCATTACTTTTTACACTAATACACTCACAAGGTCTTTACTCATACTTATTTACCAGCTATCAATATAATATTATTATTCCTTGAATCTCGAATTAATTTCATAATCCAACAATTCCACGAGTATTTATCAACCAAAATCTTACACAAGAAAGCAAGCGCCGATAAGTAATAATGTAATGGTGCGAGGCCGGTAAGCCCAAGCAGTCCATGGATCAATTTCATCGTCACATCTCGACGAGTTCAAGTCCCCATTTTGGTAGGCGGCGTGCCCATTTCTTCGAGCTCGGCAATGAACATTAAACTCCATAGCCAAGTTTATCTTCAAGAATGAAGAAAAACAGGATTCAACAATTGAGATTGATCAAAAAAAAACATCCACATTTCTAATTCTACCAAAAAAAACAATGAAGCAAGCTAAGACAAATTCATGAAATTCAAAGCCAAAAAAGAACAATTCTGAAACTAATCCTAATCCAAACAATCCCAACCTAATTTTGCAAAAATACATCAATAACTGCAAAAACAGTAACAGCCAATGTGCTTTGTTTTATCATCCTCATTTAGACATCAAGAATTGTATACCAAATTTATAAATCCTAATCAGTCTTTATCTGACCTAAAACAGTAAAAGAGGAATCAAACTGAAGTAAAGTACAGTACACAACTAACTTTTCACCTTTCAAGGTGAAAAACAGGAAATGGTTAAAAAAAAGGGGGATTTGTGCTCAAAGCAACAACAAAACCAGAAGGATTCTGAAGAAAGAACAGACACATTTATGATTTATATCATGCAATGGAAATAATAAAATATAAAAATAATCAGCAGAAATTGTTTTGTCGCCATAGCCATTTCTTGTCAAATCGAAGAAATCTCTCAACACTGTTAGTTACGTTGTCAATTGCATGAGGAAAAAAATTGAAATTAATATATCACCAAATTTCACATACAAGCAAAGCTTCGAATATGAATCAGATATGGCAGGCATCCACAATCGACGAAGATATAAAAAAGGCAAAGAAAGGGGGGGTTGGGTTATTTCGAATTAGTGATCGATTGGCCGCAAACAAGTATTAATTGCCCGTCAGATCAGAGGATTAACGAGATTTGAGACCAAAAAAAAAAGAAATATAGAGAGAGAAAGGGCGACAGCAACAAGAACAACAACAATGGGGATTCCCCACTGAAAGACAACTCTCACTCCTCACTAGTCCCAACCCAATAACTGTCTGCAGCAGCCCCTGAAAGCGAGCAAAGGAAAGGACTCTTCTCCCTCAAGAAAAAAAAAAAAAAAAAAGTTAGAAATGGTAGAAAGAGAAATAATAATGTGTGGTTGGTTCAATCAAGTTCGTTCCACACGTCAATGGCAGGAGACGGGGCAAAGACGGTGGGTGATGATGCATTCAAATGGTACGGCGGTCAAATATACATACATTCTGCTGTATCTATATAATTGGGGGGGTTAGAGAGAGAAAGGGGGATTTGAAATTTGTGCAAGACAGGGAAAGGGGGATTTTGGGGAAAAGGGTTTGGAGTATGAATTAAATTGAATTGAATTGAACGATGGAATGGAATTAGAAACCCCACCCCCACCCCCCCTGGCCCTGGTGTGAAGTGAAAACAGTACTTACAATCCAGGCTGCTGTGCTTCGGTGGATGATGGCGATGCCATCTTCATCACTGCAAACAAACAACTCTCACAACTCTCTCTCTCTCTCTCTCTCTCTCTCAAACTCTCTCTCTCTCTCTAATTACTTGCTACTGTACTCATCGTCATCAATGACTTTCTCTCTCTCTCACACACACATACACACACTCGGATATTCGATAATTTCAAAGGAATACGTCTTAATTGCAATTCGCTCACCCGCTATTTTGTCGGCGCGCACAGGAATGAGTCGTTAGTTTGAATCTTGACCGTTTGTTTTTCAATCTGACAGTGGAGAATTAGTTGGATCTGTACTCCCTGGTGTGGTTTGAATTCGAATCAGGTCTTTTGTTTGGTACAACATTGCCATGTTATGGACTGAAGTTACGAGATTGCCCTTGGCTTGGTTTTTGGAATTTTTATTTAATTCATTTGTATTGTTGAATTAAAGGCGAAAATAACACTACTTGCGGATTAGACTTTATTAATTCATTCATTCGTTAATTATTATTATTAATTTTTACTCCTATATTGTAAAAGTTATACTCTCTCCCCTAATTCAAAGGGTCATATACAATTTTATAGTAGATTAAATTTCGTCTATTTTTTTTTTATCATTTTCGTCATCTCCCTTCGAATATTTATTTTTATTTTAATAAAAATAATCATTACCTAATACCAAAATATCATTAGTTTTTACCTAAATTACAAACACGTATAATTATTTTTTACATAAAATTAAAGTTTAAAAATATTTAAACTTCTTACACACTTTCAATAACTAATAAAATACTATTATTTTTTAATCTATTACAAAACTTCAAATAGCTTCTTTGGACCGGGATGGAGGGAGTTGTATTTTATTAGTTAGTTGAAATATATAAAAAAAAATTGATATTTTTGTCCTTTCACTTTATATATATTTGTAATTTAAGAATATTTTGATATTAGTTTATAATTATTTTTTTTAAAAAAAAACTTTGAAATAAGACAAACAAAAGTGATAAAAAGGAAATTTGAATTGGGTTCGAGAGTATAATTATTAATGTTTTATACTTCTCGTCTACTATCATTTTATTCGTTTTTATATTTATGTCGTCGAAATTTATTTTACTTTTTGTTATCATCTTAATTTATTGTCACTTTTTAAAAAAATATACATATATCATTTTTTTTATCCTAAAAAATAAAATTTTTAGATTTCATCTATTTTTCTTAAAATTTATGCATAATCAAATAATACACAGTTGGATAATTGATGGAGTACAATACAATTATTAAAAAAACACCCTTACTAGCTCATTTGCCTTTTTATAGTAATTTTTAATATAATTAATTTAAAAAAAAAAACTGTTTTTACTAGTAATTCTCACCAACAAATTTTTATAACAATATATATATATTTTTTTCTTACAAAACTTACATTTACATTAAAAAAAACCTTCGTGTGAACACATTAAAGTTGTTTTATATTTCTCAAAAAGTACATAATTTTTTGTATTATAAAACATTATATAAATTTTAGCATATAACTATGATTAAATATATTAAAATTTAAATTTTAGTTTATATATATATATCACAATTATTCAATTCAATGCTAATTATAAAATTGAAATGTAAATTATAACCATATGCTGTTGGTAACAATATATAGTGATTAAAAAGACTTGAAAATAAATAGACACAAACAAAGAAAAGAACACTTCAAAGAGAAAATAGGAGGGGGTGTCTAAACAAATATCTAAAGGTGTTTTTGTTAATAATTACTTTTAAAAATTTTACTATTTAATTTTAATAATTTTTTTATAAAAATATATTATTCTTAATAAAATATTAAATTCAAATTATTGTTCATATCAAAAATAAAAAATTAAAACCAAAGTAAAAAACAATCATTAAAAGAACACAGATTTGCAAATGAAGGCACAATTATTGAATTTGGAGTTTCCCAATTTCCCAATCACAATTCTTATCATGATGATGATAAGAATCAGTGGAAAATTGTTCCTCAGCCATGGAAAAACAAAAAAAATAAAAAAAAAAATAAAAAAAGAAATTTCAAGGATATATATATATATATACACATTATATATTATTAAAAATAAATTTTAGAGAAGGCCATGTGAAATGATATGATGCATTAAAAGCAATAATCCAAATCATTATTAGAGATTTATTTCCCCACAGCATAAGACAAAATCTATCCATCATTTCACCAAAATATTCTGCCTCTATATATATATATATATATATATATAATACTCCCTCCGTCCATTTACAATATTTACATTTACTTTTGGCACAGTGTTTAAAAAATAATAGTATTTTAATTATAATGAGTAGTTAAAAGTAGTGTAATGATATTTTTGCCCTTACTTTTTTTTATATAAAAATAATGATGTGATGTCAAATAGGGGTATTTGTTGAAAAAAATAGGGTATTTAATAAAATGTTAACTTTATAATTTGACGTCCCAAAATAAAAATATGTAAACATTGTAAGTAGACGGAGTGAGCATAAACTACCAATAAATTGACATTACATGATAATCAATACTCTATCCGTCAAATTTGAAGGTCTCATTTATCTTTTGCGTCATTGTATTTAATATTAAAAATATTATTATATTTATATAATTTTTTTTTTCACAAATATCATCATAATAGTATTCTAAGACCCTTCTATTTTTGTCATTTTCATTTAATTTGTATAACATTTTCATATAATAATTAATATTTAAATATCAACATACAAAAAGTAAATAAAACCTTTAGAATCGGACGGAGGTAATATAATTTATATTACTATTTGAACACAAGAATTATATTCATAGGATATTACCCCAAAACATATTAATTTATTAATTTGTATTTCAATACATTTTATTTTTACTTTTTATCTAAAGTATTAAATATCTTTTTTATTTTGAAAAATAAATAAATTAATTGTGTAAATAAAAAATACAAATTTTTAATAAATTTATTTGATAATAATTTTCTGAAAGGCAGATAATATATAAGTGCTCTTAATGATCGATGTGTCATGGCCAGACAGGACAAATTTATGATTAGTCTAAAATTATATACTTAAGGAAGAGGAATGCTTACTTTTTTTTCCTTTTAAAAAAATTATATAAAATTAACTATTTGAATGAAAGATATAAATAAATTAATATTATTGTAGAAAAATAAATATTGCTATTGCATAAAAAGATTTTAGTAGATATAAATAAATTAATATTATTGAATATAGTGTAAGAATAATAAAAACAAAGCCAACATAACCATAGTGTTTTGATTTACAAATAATTAAATATGATAATAGAGATTATACTCCCACGTGTCACATAATTTGTCTCTATTTTCTATTTTCGTCCGTCTCACATAACTTGTCATTTTTATTTTTGAAAATATAATTATGCATTTTAATCGCATTTTAAATTTTAAATTTGATAATTTTCTTAATTTTAATTAAATTATTTACTTATCTTTATCTTAATCTTAATCTATAATTATTCTTATTAAATAATAATTATTTTTACTAATATACTTTTTAATTATTTATTAATTATATTTTATTTAAATTCTTGTGTTTACAGTAATACACTCATATTATACGAGACGGATGGAGTATTAATTATACTATCTTATCCCTTCACATGACACTAAATGTTATTTTAATTATATAAAAATAATAATAACTATTGGCTAATATTTGACCATCCACAGTGTCACAATCTGAATTTGACCATTTGACAGTGCACAAATAAAAATTGAATAGAACCTATCAACAGAACATAATGACAAAATCCCATAATTTATTTAATTACTAAAACTCAAAATAATCTTTCATTTTTATTAAAGAAGGGGACAGAACACCAATTACCATTATGGGGACAAGATTTTTCCAAATCACATCTAATCTAATTTCCCAAAAAGGAAAAATAAAATAAAATAAAATATGTGTGTTTGTTTGGGGTATTGGATTTTAAATATATTTTTTTTCTTCCAAAAATATCAAATCAAATATATATTTCGTATTTTTTATATTACATTAAAAATTAATTTTACATTCAAAATATCACATCAACACCTATTTATACCACATTATACAACTATTCAAATTCAAAATTTTTTATATTTAGATCTCAGCTCAAAATTCAAACCCAAAACAAACACATGAATATGTAGATTTGACCAAATTTCTTATCTAAGAATTTGTATGATATTGAAATGTGAAATCTATTAACAGACATGCCTAGCTGTACTATTAAATCTATTAGGACAAGATTAAGGGTATGTTTGGTTACAATCTCAATTGGTATGGAAAATTAGATTGTGTTTGTTCAGTTTTTATGATTTTTAATAATAATATACTCTTTGGTACGGTTCTAATGGTCATATTTATTTTTTGAGTGTTTATATTTTAATATTAATTATTATATCAAAATATAGTACAAATAAAAAAAATGACAAAAATACTTTTATTAGTATTAGTATCTTATAATACTAAATATAAAGATATTTTAAATGTTAAGTACATAAAAGATGAAGTATTATTTTATATATATATAAAATATAATATCAAAATACTGTTTAAATAAAAATTCAAATTCAACCTTCAATTTCAAACCAAAACCAAATAAACCCTCCATTTTTGCCTTGATTGTTTTTTTTTTTTTTTTTCTTTTGCTGTGAAGGATCAACGTATTCTCGGGTAACTTGTTGCGAATTTTCAGTACAATGCGATGATCTTGGAGAAAGGTAATATTAATTGATTGAAGAACAAACGGCACAAACAAAACATTGAATTACATTATTGTTAAACTATCAACGAAAACAAAGACAAAAATGCAAAATAATAATAATAATAATAATAATAATAATAATAACGAAAGAAATTATATTTTTGGTAGAATGAATGGATGATTTTCCTTTTTCTCCCCCTTCTCGTAGAGGTGGAAATAAGCCATATGACCTATCATGGGTCTACGGCCAGCCTTGCCGGATTCAGTAATTATACTATTCATAAATTTTTATATTTATAGTAAAATAGATATGATAGTCGGAACGAAGAGAAGAGAGTATAAACTAAAGCTCTATTTGTTTTGTGTTCTTTTTTTTTTTTTATTCCATATAAAAAAGTATACATTATTTTTTTTATTTAAAAAAAAACATTAGTAGCAACAAATATTTCAGAAATCAAAATAGAAACATTTGTGTCCAGTAAATGATGTTTGGTGGTGTAGGGATTAGACTTGTGGTTACAAAAATTAGAATAGTAAAATTTTATATTTTATATTTTAATTTTAATTTTAATTCCTTATTTAAATAATAATTAATTTTTATATATTTTGTAGTTTTATACTATAAAATAATAAAAATTAGTTGGTAAACCTAAATTTTAAAAATAAAAAATCAGAGGCTAGCATATGTATGTGAGTGTGTGAAAAAGAAATGAAAATGAAAGAAATGAATAAAAAGAATGAATGGAATTGGGAAGAGATGGGGAGTGGAGTGGACAGGAAGGAGCATAGGTTCCCAACCTGTCTGGAACACATATGCTCAGATTCCATTTCTCTCAACATTATTATTATTATTATTATTATTATTATTATTATTCATGATTCCGACGCCCAGATCAATGTCTCATCCAAATATATAGTATAAAACTATTTTCAATAATTTTACCTTTTTATTATAAACTACTCGTATTATTACTGTTGCTGGCGGAGGGGGCCTGCCATTGCCATCACCAACTCCCATCCACACTTATTATTAAATGATAATCTTCTGCACAACTCAAATCTATTTGATCTCTATGCATAGACATAGACATAGACATGCTTTGATTTGATTTGATTTCATACAACAAAATAATAATAATAATAATAATAATAATAATAAACCTGTGGTGAGAATTGGAACAGCCTGTAGAATGTGTCATTTGTCCGCACATATAAATATAATTTGATAGTAAATTTAATATTTATACATGAACCCTATATAGCAGTAAAAAAAAATCAGAGGCATATCAACTTCTGATTTAGTCTTTAGGGTATTAAGTTCGGTAACGAGTAGCGTCAGCAAATTTCTATATTATAAAAAAAAAAAAAAAAAAACTATTCTTTTCTTCGCCTTTCACCGTCGGCTCTCTTCGTTTGGACACCGTGAGCGTGTACTCTGCGATGGTCTCCGGTGGTCGCAGTCTAGAAGAATCTCGGGTTCAATGATCGGAAAAAGACCATTATCCGGAAGAAACCATTTTTTGGTTATCGATTAACGAGTGTTCTTTTCTTTCACATATCGATAGACAATAAACCTGATAAGTTGCAGCATAACTTGCAAGACCCCAAGCGGCTTCTTTAACAGGCAGGGCCGATGGACAGCAAGGAATGCTCACAACGGTTCTCCTATAATGATTAAAATATAAGACATGAACGGATTGATCGAATTCGCGGTTAATTCGAAGATGAACTTCACAATATGTATCTTACCATTTCGCAAAATGAGCGCCTTGTTTATAATACTCAGCCGATTGAGAAGCCAGCCAGTCTAACCCCTGACACCCTGTAGGATGAAATAATCAAGCGCAATTAGCCGAATGCCAAAAAAGAACATGCTCGTCTATAAATTTACTAAAATGCTCGCCTTATCAACTTTGATTCCGGGCACAATATTCTCGCCACGCAAACATTCGATTGTTTGCTTCTGTGTTGTCAAGTCCTATTGAAGATCACCTAAAAGGTTAAGCTATTTGGAATACAAACCGAGTCTATCAACACGCCCCCTCATGGCTAAGGGGAAAAACACCACAGTGAACTCACACTTGAGACTAAGGTTCTGATACCATATTAGATGATATAAATGACCAACCTAAAAGCTTAATCTATTAAGAATACATATCATTTATTTATTTTTCTACAAACCGAAGTCCACCAACACATTCAATTCATCGATTGCTAGGATTCCCCCACTGATTTCTAATCCAACAAGGACAAAATAACAACAAATCTTAGCACTAGATTGGCGCCATGGCTTGAAATTCATCGAGCTTAAACATACATTGTTCTTTCTACAAAAATTCTTTGGAACAATTGTTTGTTTGGTTTTGGCCCCAAACATACGTCAAATTACTATTTAAATAAAAACGCGAAGGTAAACCACAACCAAACAAACTAATGTGTGACACAATGCAGAGATTATACAGCTGCTGCTTTGTTTAGGTAATTTCGAACCCTAGAAATTCTAAGAATGCATTAAAATACACATTTCTGCTTTGATCCATGAAAGCTAAGGCTTAAATAAAACAGTAACAGAAAAATTATGCTGCAATTTCACATTAGAAGTTAATTTCCAAATATTGATAAAATCAAGTTACAAAATGGTTGAACTTGCCAAAGAAGATCCAGCTTCCATGTTAACATCTTACTTCTTAAGTTAAAACACAGTATGAACTCAAGACTCCAAATTCTGAATTGTATAGTCCTATGATCAATCTGCGCCATATGATTCATACTATGTCTTCATCAAATTGGAACCGCAGGAATCTCGAAATCGATAGAAATTGCAAGTGCATTTAAATAATGATGTATCAGACTAAATCGATCACACTTGAATTGATTTGAAAAACAGAAAAATTATACAGAAAATCGCAAAGCTTACAGCCGTTTTAATGAGGTGTAGGAATTAGGATCCGGCGCGGACGACGGGGACTCGGCGGGTGGGGAAACGCGCCGCCGATCCAGGCTGCTCCTTGACCGACTGCTGGCCGGCGATCCACGAGGACGAGGCGGCGCTCAATTTGACCGGAGTGGGGCACGCCATGGCCTTCCTTTTGGCGGAGAGAGAATCAGCCGCCGCAACAGAGTGAGCTTTCCTCGGTGATTCTGCAGGTGGGCGCAATAATGACAAAGACAATCGCCAAACGGATCCGAACTGAAATTACAGGTTTACCCTTCCCCTTTGGGCTGCGGAAGTTCCAAGTGAATTGCATCAAGCCCATTAATGGCCCATTGGTCTGGCCCAATATAATGTGTACGAATAAAATTTTGAAAACTATAAAACAAAGAGAAAAAAAATTGTTTGCAAAATTAAACTAATGAGTGTGTTCATCTAACCAATTTTATTCACTATCAATATAATAATATATATATATATATACAAGATGCATATATTAACAAAAAATATATAATACTCTATTTTATTCATCTAAAAACAAAAATTTACACTTTTAAATAAAATAAGAGTATTTTTTTTATATTGTCACTTCCACTTTCTTATACATAACATAAAAAAATATACTGCAAACTAAAAAAACAAAACAAACACACTCAATAGCTTTACATCTAAAATTATATTTATTCTACATGATTTAAGGCTACGTTTAGTTAATTTAATGAAGAAATGTTTGTTTGTTCAATTAGTTATATAAAAAAAAATAAATAGTACTCTATCTCCAATAAGTATTGTTTATTTCTTTTTTTTTAAATACAAATTTTACTTTATAATCCTTCACTTATTTATTACTTTTAATCTTTACCTAAGAATAAATTTGTCAATTCATACTAAAAAGACATACAAATATACTCTTTGACAATTAAAAATGAACGGATGGATGGAGTAGTATTTAGGAACAAGTGATATTATGTGTGCACTAAAATAGCCACAAATAAGGGCGTATTTATGTATAAATACGCAATATTCCTTTTTCAAATTATTATTATTATTTTTTTTTATGTCACTTTGGATGTGGGATGGATGTTACACATTACTTTCCAAAATATCAACTTGATGGGATGCATCTAAATTTGGGTGTGTTTTTGGTGTGAATTTTATGAAGTATATTGTTATCATTGCAAAATAAATAATAATTGGGTTAGATGATAAAGGCAAAAGGGATGCATTTGTATTTATTGAGTTTGGGTTATTTTTGATGTATTTAAAATTAATTGGACACTGACCAGACATGACCATATTAATATAGCACCAAATTGTGCCTTGGCAACTGCCAGCTGGCGTTAGGCAAATGGTTGAGCTTTTTGGTTCCCCTCCATTTGCCAACTTGATCGACTCTTCTACCGTACGTTTAGTTGCAAATTGAAATGTTTTATTCAAAGTTTGAATACAAATATTAAGAAATATTAATTTAAAGTAAATTGAATTTTGATTTAATATATATTTTATCAAAGTTGAATTTTGAAAAAAATTATATTCATTATAGGTGTCATTTTATAAAATAAATAAATGTGTGTTCATTTGACCGAGCATGTGTTTTAATAAAAGTGAGTAATAATTATTAATTTTTTATTTTACGGTAAAAAACAGTACAAAAATAGAATGATTTTTTACTTAACAAAAAATAAAAATATTTTTCGATAACAACCTAAAAAAGAAAGTGGACATAAAATTTGAATGACGAATTTTTTTTTTTAAAATGTATATAAAAACATTTCAATATGTTTTTAAACTTATTGGTAATAAATTTATACGTTTGAATTTTATTTTAATTTACCAGTTGTACATGTGGAATAATTTGGCACTTGTACATGTTGATGCAAATTGGATTAGAGACTTTTATAAAATTATTAAAGTCTGGGTAGTATTTATTTTGTTGAATATATTCGAATTAATAAAATTATTTATAATTAATTGAAATTTATTATGGTGTTCAATTTTAAATTGGATATGCATCTTAAATATCATCCGTAAAAAAATATTTACTTATTTAAATAGAAATTTGAGATTTCCAAAATATTTTAGAATTATTAGCAAGCTTGAATAAAAAATAATTATTCAGTATGATGTAAGTAGAGATTGGATGTTACCTGCATTACATAGCAAATAAAATTTTTATATTCCCTCCCTCTCCATTTAAAATATTACATCATATTCCCTCCATCTTCATTTAAAATATTACATCTATCTATCTGGCTCTAAAGATCTTATTTAGTTTTTGGATATTGATATTTAAATATTAATTATTATATAAAAATATTAAATTAAAAAAAATAAGAAAAATAATTATATTAGTATCTTATAATACTATTATAATCATATTTGTATAAAAATTTAGACAAATATAAAAAAATTTAATATTAAATATAATAAAATAAAAAGTAAAAGAGATTCTCCCATTGAAGGAGTATTTATTTATTTATATGTTTATTCTTGAAAAATAAATCAATGTTACTGATTTATTATTAGTTGGGATCAGAAGAGATATAATATTTTAAATAAGAAATTATATGCATAATGTAATATTTTTTTAATCAAAACTATATAAATTATTTTTGTGATATTATATTTATGTCTTTATAATATATATATATATATGTGTGTGTGTGTGTCTATACGAGAGTGTGTATATATATATATAGCCTAGCACTTTGTTGGTGAAGGAAGGAAGCATTTGAGGTGTGAAGCAACCAATGGGGTTACAGAACCACCCAGCTGACGTGTCATCCGAATCAATCCTCTTTTTCACGGTGCTGCTCCTCGCCAGAAGTGCAAGTTATCTCCAATCGCTTCTCCTCGCTATCGTGCGCAGGCTGAGCATCTTCCCACGCCTTCGCCGTTCCGGCGGATCTCTCTCCACGGAGACCAGCCTCGTCGCCGTCCTCCGCGACCAATTCGACGAGATCGGCGGAGGTTTGGATGCGGAGTGCGTGGTGTGCCTGAACCGGCTTGGCGAAGAGAACCGCCTGCGTAGGTTAGCGTGCCGCCACGTCTTTCACAAGGATTGCTTGGACCGGTGGCTGGACTACCTCAACTTCACGTGTCCGCTCTGCCGAGCGCCGCTGGACACCGGCGGCGCTCACGCGCTGCGCTTCGTGGAAGAAGAACTCCGCGCGTGGTGAGTGTTTTTCCGGCGGCCATGTTTTTGACCACTAACTTTTTAGGTGTCCGTACCATAACCGTTTTCTTCTTTGTGTATTTTCCTCCTTTGTGAATGAATAAATAATACATATGATTATCTTTTATTTATTTATTCATTTAATATATATGTATTTTTTATAAGAACCTGAGAATTTATAGACTCTGTTTACACATTATATACTATTTAATTTTTAAAAAATATTAAATTAAAAATTGAGAGTATCTCAAATTAATAGTCTCAGTTAACTTTATTTAATTTCAAATTTGATTAAACAGGTATGGTATTTTATCGTCATTTAATTTAATAATATTTGATTATGTAAAGAATGGGATGATTCGTCGTGTCGTGCTTGCATGTTCAATGCTTCAACTTCAACCAAACTGTTTTGAGATTATTATCCAAACATGTATACATTTTAATTGTTCTTAATCAACAACATTTGTTGTGTGTTTTATTACCACAAGTAGCACATAAAACACAAAGAATATACATCCAGTATAAATAAACATGAATTGACAATTGATATTATATAGCGCATACTATAATTGATCACAACACATAGTGTATATTAAAACGTAACTACTCGGAGATAATCAGCACAGTGCTAACAAACACATTCTTGTACATTACATACAGAGGCACCTTAACCATATGCTAGAGCTAGGGAAACAACACATAGATTAGCATAGCAGGAAATGAGAAAGTGCAAACGACCAGAGGTTTAGAGAGAGAATTCGAGGAGTAAGAGATTCAGACATGTTCTTATCTGTCTTATCTTCTTCCAGATTCCATAGCATCAAAGCTTTGATCCACTGCAGCCTGTTGAGGAGAAGTCATTCCATTTCCGGGATGAGCGCCGGAAGCAGCAGCATCTTCCAGCGCCTGTTTATATGCATAACAGCGCCATCCTGCCGCGCCATGAACAATAAACCATTGTCATAAACATCTAGTGTCTAAGCAAAAACAAGGTGCTAATATTGGAATCACCTTCTGTGTTGTAAGGAGGTGGGAAGAACTGGAGGTAGCAAAAGGTTGCGACCACGAGACCTGAAGAGATGCGCGCCGATGTCAGTGAGATAAATTAACCACTTATAGATTATCGTTCTGCAGATTTGAAGGGAATATGGACGCACCTAGAAGACCCCCAGCAAACACGTCTTGCCAGTGATGCCAGTAGTCATCCACACGAGAAACCGCAACAAGACATGCTAGGAGGATGGGAAAGAAAACAATGCACAGTTTTGCTACGTGGCCTCTACGATCGAAGCATTTGATTTTTCCTGACAAGTAGAGTGAGAGAAAGCCGAGACCAGCAAATGACCCTGAGACAAATGCAGAAAAATTATTACATGACTATGACCGTGCTTACGTAGGATCACAATGTGGAAAGGTTAAGTCAGAAGCAAGAAGATTAACTTACATGAAGTATGGCCACTGGGAAAACTTTTATGGCCCTCTTTTATATCACCCGGATCGCCATGGCATATCACATTGCCAAATCGATCGTATTGCTGATTACAGGAAAATTAATGTATGTTCAGTAAGTAGTATATAGCACATAGAAGTGGCAACACACGAATAGAAAAAAGAAAAACTAAAAATTAAAAAATGGATAAGTTCAATCTTAAATTCGGATAGAAAAGAGCAAATCTCCGTTAAGGGAAATCCAAATGCATAAGTCTAAATTATTCGATAGCTTTACATAGAAAAGTTAGAAGTACACACATCTCGCCCATCGGGGAAGCAACGCCAAAAGAAGTCAGGCCGTGGTCGGCCAACTCCATCTTTTATTGCATCCGTAAGGACTCCAGTTATCAAAACAGCAAACAATAATCCTGCAGTTTAACAGCGAGCATTTTGTGCGTCAAAACATGTTACTTGCTTATTAGGCAATGAGAAAATCACATACAAAGGAAAGATGCATACAGAAAAAGATAAAGAAACATGATCAAAAAAGGAGATATTACCTAGTATGCTATGGTGCAGATCATAGACATCGTTCCTCCTCATATAATATAGAACAAAAATAGCAATAGGCAGCAAAACTGCATACAACTAAACATATGGAAAACGCATGCTGAGTATACATCAACATAACCACTTTAAGAAAAAACATACCGGGAGAATAGAAACCGTGCATCATGAGAAATTGACAACAAGAATCGGTTTCCTTTTGTTTTATTACGAACAAGATAATAATAATTTAGGGGTCTCCTAGTGAATGAGAAAACTCACTGGAACTGCCCATATAGGCACAGTGTTGCTTTTCATCGGATATTTAAGATCTGTCATCATGCCCTTCCCAACAAAACGGCGGTAAGGGTGAATGATGTTCAAAGAGATATCTATAACCGCAAGCAGTAGGAGTATCAGCCAGTCATGCTTGTGATCCCATGCAAGTTTTTTTCCATGTGACTTAATTGTGTACTTGTATTGCTGATCACATTCATTTTGGCTAACCTGTTTGTTATTTCAAAAAATGCATGAGTTATATGTTGTAGATGCCAATGCAATGATATCGAATACAGCATGCCAGGTGAAGAAACTTTTGATGTGTATAATGGTAAACAAATTCCTCCTACATTGTTAGCCAAGATAAGAAAAGATTCGACAGGAACATTTAAACTCTTCACTAGGTAAGGTGGTGGCGGCGAATGAGTGGATCATACATTATGATTGCACATTGTACTACATGTGCTCCAGCAGGTATTGATTAACTTTTTTAATCTGAGTTATAGTAGTTCTTTGTAGATGGATCAAGACACCATTGCAGGACCAATTCTAATTGGCAGATGTGAAGATAAAATTTCTCTCCATGGGAACATTGGAATCTACAGTATTCTAAGTATTCTGCTGAAAATAGAGTTTGGAGGGTTTTGAATATTACTGTTAAGGCAAAGCAAGTACAGAACTTGTATATGTTGAATGAAGAATTTGATGCAATCTCTGTCAACATATCCAATTGAGAGAGTGAACATTAGAATATGTGCTTACGAAATATGGCAAAGAAGATGAATTTGAAATCCAAAATAAGAAATGAAGATGGTATCAAGGACGAGTCTCGGATGTCTGTCAAATTTCCACAAACTGGTGGTAAATAATACCCAATTCGGATCAGGGCTTGAATTAGGGTTCTACAGCTATTGCCAAATTTTCTTTGAGTGTATCAGTGTCTATTTCAACAGTGTTTAAGATCGTGATAGCCATTGAATTTCCCTCGAAAGATCTAAGGCAAATGAAAAATAAAAAAATGCCACTGAAACACTCACCCAAACTCCTTCATACCCAAAATTAACACCAGCTGCACAGCTAAGGAAGCCAACATTTTCTTCACAAGCCATAGGGTTACAAGGATTTGGTAGGATAAATTACTTCATGTACACTAGTCCAGTGCGGTTTTTCTCGCAAGAAGAAAATTCGCGAACAAACTTAAGGCAGTTACAATCGGAGCAAAAATCTATCTACATAATTTTTTTGACTGCAAACCGTTCTAGATGTTAACCCTCAGTAATCCAAGACAGATAGGTAGAAAAGCGACGCAAATATTGACGTAAGGCAAACAAAAAGAAACACAAACCTGAAACATGTTCCTGAAATTCGTAGCAGGACAAAAGTAGACCTTCTCTCTCCCAAACTGCCAGATTCTAAAACGAAAATTTACCACGCAAATAAAGACGATAAGTAAACAATTGCTCTGGAATTAGTATCAAAACATTATTAGTGGTTGATTAGGAGAAAATGAGGGATAAACACAACAGCCGTAGCATAACGATTCCGATTAAAAAAAAAAAAAAAAAAAAAAAGAGAGAGAGAGGCAAGAACAGTACTCCATCGTCTAGTGGCTAGAATTAGATAAGGTGAAATTATTGGCACCTGAGATATTTTCCCGAATCACTGTCAAGTGCCGACACCAAGTGGCACCACGACGAGACGCTTTCTGGAATCAGTAATGCGAAATTCTCACAATTGATAGTGCGGCAAACAGTAAATCAGCACCCCAAACCTTGCAAATCCGTAGGAACCAATGATAAAACTACTGCGATCGAACGAACAAAATGCAAATTTTGAAAAACAAAAAAAATGCTCGAGGGTTTTGCAGACGGCAAATTTGAAATGGAGAGACCCCCGACGGTTAAGCTACCATGTGATGAATTTAACGGCTAGGATTTATTTGATTGTGGCCGCGGATCGATATCGACCGTTGAATATACTGACCGTTTTCTAGGCTGGCTGGCTTTCTTCACTTTTCGCATAACAGATTAGAGGTGTGTTTGTCTAAGGATTTGAATTTTGAGTTGGGATTTGAATAGTAAAAATTTTGAATTTGTACAGTTGTATGATGTGATATAAATAGGCGTTGATGTGAAGTTTTGAATGTAAAATTAATTTTTAATATAATATAAAAATAAAAAATAAGTTTTTAATTTGATGTTTTTTGGGAGAAAAAATAGAATGAATAGTTGAAATCCAAACAAATTCTTCAAACAAACACACCCTAGGTAAAATTAATTTAATTTTATCCCTGTTACGACCTAACTGTTTTAAATGAAAATGGATTACTAAATTTAAATTTATATCCTCAAAAAGCAATAATTGTTCTGATTAAGGACACTAAAAATTTTGTTCTAATAATTAGCTATGGATAATTTCCGAAAATTAACGTATAAATATTGTTGACCCCACTGGTCACGGCGTTTAATACTCCGTTACTTTGGGGCGTTTATTTTCTTTTTATATGTTGAGGAAGATTAAATGGAGCTCCTGATAGCGCAATTTTTCGCTTAATCCAGACCGTTGATGGCATGGATTCCATATTCTGAATGGTGTGGATTTATCTGGTGTTGGAGGTCCCGGACATTGATTGTTTCATATACCTTATGATGACTTATTTGCCATTATAATATAGTATAATATATACTATTTATGGCATTTGATATATATTGTTTATATTAAGTGAATCAAGATATAATCTTATCTTTATAACTTAAATAGATAATATAAAATTAAAATGGTAACACAACTTTCGGATGATATTATTTAAATACAGAAAATTAGATTATATATATACACGTTTCACATTACATGTTACATGTATTTCTCTATAATGCCAGTAATATATTTATTTATTTTTTTTTTTATTGACAGTAAGAACGACAGCTACGTATTGTGAAATTTCGGTCGAATTTAATACCGTACAAATTAGGTCTAACAAGACAAAGGTGATTGGAAGACGTCGGGCTTTGAAACTTATTTAAGTCCACTCTTACGTAACTATATCATTTTTTACTATATAATTTTTTATACTTTTGTATTTGAAACAATAACTCAATATGGAAAAATTGTGTCAAAATTTTAAAATAATATTCTTTCTGTTCTATTTTAAGGGTCTAATTTATATTTTTTTTTATCTTTGAATATTAATTATTATATCAAAATATATTATAAATTAAAAAAATTGTAAAAATACTTTTATTAGTGTCTTATAATATTGTATAAAAAATTATATAAATATAAAAATATTTTTAATATTAAGTATAGAAATGCAAAAGATAAATGCGATAAGGCGGATGGAGATAATATTATTTTAATTTTTTAACAAGTATTTGAATTTTTCATGTGACTTTTATAAAAAAATATTTTATAGTATTTTATATTATTATCTTTAGAAAACCCCAATCCAAAAATTAACTTGGGTGAACAAAACCGTTAATATTGAAATGTTGAATACATCTAGGGGTGTCAAAATGAAATCCGCCTGAAAAATTGAACCCAATCGACCTGAAGGTTCAGGTTTGAAAAAAATTGGGTCGACCCAATCCCGAAATGAAAAAAATTCGTGTGGTGTTCGAGTCGGGTTTTAGGTTGACCTAATAATTCGCAATATAAAAATCAGGTCAGGTTTCGAATTTCGTGTTTCGAGTTGATCTGAAATTATTTATTATTCTTTTAATTTATAATATTTATATTATTTTAATTAAAAATAATATAAAAATTTAAAATAAAACTTAAAAATTTTTTAGGTTAATTTATTTTTTTTATATATATATTCGGGTATATTTCGTGTCGGGTTCGTATCGGATCTGTTCGGATTTCCTGTGACCTGAAACTAAATCAGGTCAACTTGAACACGACTTGAAAGAATTCGTGTTGTATTCGGTTCTAAGATTTCAGGTTAAATTTTGGGTTCGGATTGACTGTTAAATGTTATTTTCATGGCTCAACCGACACAAACAAGAGCCAAAAATACACATTGATACTCCTAAATAGATTGATTTAAAATAAATATTATAAAAAATGAATAAACTCAGTATTATTTGATTCATTGTAAATAAATTGGATAGAATTTTTTTGTTAATATAACGTTTTAAATAAAAAATAATATTAAACGTGATGTTTTTTTTTTAAATATAGATTAGTGCTACAAAAATAATTTGAAAATATATGCAAACATAGTATACACTCCTTCCGTCCCACATAATTTGTCCCTATTTTTTTTTTCGTCCGTCCCATATCATTTGTTCATTCATAATTATACACTTTAATCTCATTTTAAATTTTAAATTTTATAAATTTTTTAATCTTAATTAAACTATTTAGTTATCTTAATCTTAATCCACAATTATTTTTATTATAAGATTATTTTTACTAATACACTTCTTAATTACTTACTGATCACACTTTACCTAAATTCTCGAATCTACAGTAATAGGGCCATAATACATGGGATGGAGGTAGTATAATTTAACATTATATCAATTGAATTGATGTTTTGTAGGTTCAATATTATATTTTTATATGTTCCATATTTCTCTATGCATTTTGAATTTTGAATAACAAATTTTTTTAATTGAATTAATTGTTTAATGAATAAATATAAATATTAATGTAATATTTTACATTATTTTAGAAATAAAAAATATTAACTCATCCATAAGTATTTATACGGTAAACTCTATATTATACGCAAATTTCTGATTATATTTTTATTATTTATAATATTTTTTTTCAAATTAAATATTTATTTGAATAGTATTAGAATTAATTTTTTATTTGAAATATTATATCAATATTTATTTATTTCACTAACAAAAAGTATAGCCCTAATTTTGATAAAAATTGTTAATTGGAGAGTGTGATATTTATTTGGGAATATATTATTTTTATCATAAGATGGCCTCCTCTTTCCATTCTACTGTAAGAGTAAATAAATAAACAATCAAATCATATATAGAAATTGAAATAGGAAAACCACTTTTATTGTATTTACTATGCAACCAAAAAAAAATCTTATTTACAATAACGAGCATTTAAATAAATTAAATAAAATCATATTTTAGGAATTTATTAATAAATTGAATAAAATAAAAAAACAGCTGCATACAAAGGTGGAGTTCTGCAATTCTCATTCTCCACCTTTCTCTGCGTCCTTTCCACCTCAGCACCTTCCATGGACGCCTCTGCACCAACTACCGCCTCCACGCCGGCGGTTAACACGGATTCCGTCGATTATTCGCCGCGATTTCGTCAGAATGACTCCTGCAACGCTGATCCTCTCGCAGCGTCGAAAGTCCGGCTTATGTGTAGCTACGGCGGCCGCATAGTCCCCCGTCCGCACGACAAAACGCTCCGGTACATCGGCGGAGACACGCGCATCATCGTTTTTGATCGCCGGACGTGTCTGTCGGACCTTCACGCTCGTCTCTCCAGAAATCTTCTCAACAATCAGCCGTTCCTCCTCAAATACCAACTTCCGAACGAGGATTTGGATTCTCTAATCTCTCTGAGCACAGATGAAGATCTCGAAAATTTGTTGGACGAATACGATCGCCTTAATAATGCCGGAGGTGTGCAGAAACGAGGCCGCGTTCGTCTCTTCCTTTTTCCTAAATCTCAGTCAGGTATTGAACAGGTTCTTCGGGAGACTTCGTCTCCTAAATCGGAGGATTGGTTTTTCGACACTCTGAATGGTAAGACGAGTTTATCTGCTACCGTGAGTGATCGTGGATTTTCGGAGTCTTCCTCGGTTAATTGCCTGCTTGGATTGGACGACGATTTGGTGGCAAAAGCGGCGGTTGAGGAGAAAGTTGTTGAAGCTAAAACAGACGGCGCAAAAATTGGGGGCACCGGGAATGAAATTGTTAATGGTAGCAACCATGATGTTCGTTCGATTCCTGATTCTCCGATGCTGGGGACTACATCGTCGCTCGATTCTACTCCCAGTTCTCCGTCCGCCTCCGATTCGCAGCCTACAGTGCCTCAGGCTGAAGAAAATTCGAACGCAGGAGTGGGAATTGAGGAGCAATTTCAGCAGATGAGTGTCGGTGTTGGGGATAATGTGAACTTATCCTCGCCGCAGAAGCAGGAGAAGCTTTCCGATTCAACCGCCGCCGGCGTCACGACTGGGAATGCTGATTTTGTATTACCGGCGGTTGTCGCCGACGAGCAAACTACTCCAGTCGTTTCCGACGATGAAAAGTCCGACCATGGCGCGCACTTAAAGGTACAACACAGTCAGCCGCAGGTACAATCTCAATTGCAACCACCGCAGATTCCCCAAACTCTGCCGCAACCAACTACAGGTTTCGATACATTTCCACCAGATTCAGTTTCAAGGTACAAAAAATGCTTTCTAGAAGATCAATTACGCTACAAAATTTTCAATCGTTTATACAGCTTGAAATTATCTGACCGGGACGATAATTTGATTTATACAGCGAAGGAAATGGCAGAAATCCATGGTCTCAACAGGCTATTTATCAAGAACAACTGAAACAAATCAAGCCAGGAAACCCTACAATTTCATCCAATCAGCCAGACACCAATTCAGGAGATCAGAACAATTGCAACAACATTCAGAGACAATCCCAACCTCATGAAGCTGGTTACATTTCCTCCAGCCAATTCGACCAAAATCATCCTCAGTTACACCAAAATCATCCCCAGTTCATCCCTACTGGTAACCATTTCATACCTGCTGGTGCAATGCCAATCTTGTCATATTATCCAATATACTCACCACAGCAGCAGCGCAATCCCCCTCAGCCCTACCCTGTATTCATTTTGCCTGGGAACCCCAACCAACCTTACAACTTGTCACTGCAGCAGCCTAATTATAGTGAATTGCCTCAAACCACACCTTGCTGCCCACAAACACCTCCATCCGCCATGGCATCACACACAGCTTTCAGCCAAGGAACAAATGCTCCTGCCCCCAATCCGGAAATGGCTAGCGGAATGTATCAGCCCGGTGCTGCTCAATTCCTGCAGGTGGCTCCAGGCCAGCATCAAATGCAATACATTGCTTTTGCTCCAGTTCCTCATCCTCAGTCAGTTGCCCCATCTTCCTCAGCAGCCAATTCCAGCCATGATTTTTCCGATCCCGCCCACATGCCAATGTACTACAGGCCCTTTCTGGCTGCTCAGTATCCGGCCATTACCACCTCCCCTGCCATGATCATACCAGAGGACACTTCTTCCCAACGTGCCTCCGAGAATTCTAATTCTCAAGCATGACAGAGACAAATTTTGCACGGGCAGGCACAGGTGAGTTCTTTTACTCTTTCGAATTCATCATTATATAAATTCCTATTGATTGGTGACTTGTGATTGCAAATAGGTATAATAAGAGTGCCTCTAGTTTGCTGTTATCAAGTGATATGGTCATATGAACAATGCCTGATATCATTTTTTTTTTTCATATTTTGTGTATATCTTCAGTTTTTCTGAGCCATAACCATTCCTATTAGTTATCAAATGAAATACAATTTTGAATGTGGTAGCACTTTGTCCCTCGAATTTGGAATATGCTCTTGTTATGCTTTTTCCACCAATTCATTATCATAAACATTGGCTTTAGTTATACTTATACCCCATGGAATTTCAGAATAGAATCCATCTTTAAAACCAAAGCTCTGTGTGCACTGCCCTTTTGGTATGTATTTTATTGACAAAGGTTGAGGATCACTTGTCTGGATCGATCACACTTTCCCATTCCATTCGAGATTCTTTGTGCAGGACTGTACATATTCCCCCCTTCAAATCATTTGCATGTTGCCATGAAAAAGTTGTACCTTTAGGTTTACTGCCATCTTCTTCAGCATTCCCAACTTCCCCAATTTGTCACTTTAACTGCTCATTATTTACCTTCATGCATTGCTGGTCTCTATTTTTTTTATTAAATCCAATATATTTTTTTAGTATACATCTGCTTTTTTTTTTTTTTTTGGTGAATTGAAATATTTATAGTTGATCAAAGATCAACAAAGGTAAATTTGAATTAAAATATTAGTACTATTCCTTTTGTCTCTTAATAATTTATCTATTTTATTATTTTGATATGTTCCCTAACAAATTATCAATTTTTTTTTTTTTTTAAAGTAAGAATATATAAAAATTAGACAGATGGAATATTGAAATAAATATATAGAAATGATGATGGAGGAATATCGAAGAGAAGAAAAGGTGTAGGAATAAATGATAGCTTACGTGTAGGGCTGTGATTGGTTTTTCGAGGTCCATTAGGCGGACCTCTACTCCGTGGTTCAGTGTCAATGGTGTATTGGTTTTTGGCGCCGCCGAGGATTTGGGAGTCCTGGACCTGATAAGATTCTACCTAGCATTTAATTGAATTTGTTTTCTTATTGTTTTTAACCCCATATCGAACTTAGATCATAGCCTCCAAAGCAGAAATGTCACCATTTGATTATAAGAATTTTGATTGTTTAATAGTAGGATTGTGAAATGTGGTGTTTTAAGTACATTTGCCATTTTTCTTAAAGAATGATTAATATTATACTTCCTCCATCTTTTGTCAATTTTTTTCATTTTTATTTGTCTTGACTTATTTTGTCATTTTTTTTAAAAGAAAATTATACACATTGATTTTATTTTAAATTTTTTTTAATTTTAATTAAATTAATTAGTTTTTTTAATATATAACTATTTTTACTATTAAATAATTATTTTTACTAATATATTTTTAATTGTTTAGTAATATTATATTCCTCATAAATTTCTGTATCTGCACTAAGTAGACATAATCTCTTACACGGAGGAAGTATAATTTTAGATTGGTATTTTAAATTTGTATTGATTTGGTGGATGTGGAGAATTAGGGTTAATAAATACTCCACTTGATTGATAGAAGTACACACAATAGGGTGTATATTAGTAATTGATTTCAATATACATTCTATTGTTGTATGCAATAGCGATTAGGACTAATTAGTATAGAACTATAAAAATTTTATGTAAATATATATATATATAGTTAATTGTTAGCATATATATGATTGTTAATTCACTACTATTTTATACTATTGATATCAAAATAACTTTATATTATATACTTTATGAGTGTAACGGGTCGAATTGTTCCTCTTCAACACCTAGCAATCTAGGGCACGCGGAACCTTACCAGTACAACCGCTAGTCTAGCGCATAAGTACACTAGGAAAACAAAATCATATAAGCTCTACGAGAATTGGATGAATTAATAAGAAGTTTTAGTACCTTCTAGAGAGTTCCGGACGGTTCCAGTAGCTTCACACCTTCGCCCCCCTTCTCCTGATTTCTCTTGATTATGGCTTCTCGATCACTTTGGGACTCGGTCATAGTCATGTTCAACTACAAATTTAGTTTTTGACACTAGATACTATTAACTTTTTATATGTAATATTTTAAATGATAATTATTTTACAGTATAAGGCATAAACTTAAAATAATATCGATTTGATATTTTTGAAGAGAAAAAAAAAAAAAAAAAGGGAAATGAGATCCCGGCTCTAAATCGATGTCAAAACACACCATGTAGATTTTGGCTATATAATTCGATTTGCATATATCTAATAAAAATAATTTATGCATAGAAAATAAGAATAAAAATGAAAATTAGGGAGACAAATATTGAAGAACAATATTAATAAAATATGGAGTATTATGCACTTTAAATTTATAAAATGAGTTGTGTTTGTCCGGTTGAATTAAACTGTTGTAATTTTAAAAAAAAAATTGGATAATAAAATTGGATTGTAATTTTTTAAACATTGTATGTATATTTTTTAATATTGATAAAAGTCCATAGTTGTATTGTTTGATCCGTCAGTTCTTGGTGGATTGGATTAAATTCAGACAATCGCGTACTAGAAAGATATTTTTCATATATCATCAAAAGAACTATTGAAAACTCGTAAAATCTTACCTGTGCGTTTGGTATATATAACCAAACGACTCCAAAATATTCAGAGTGATAAGATTATTATTTAAATCAATCATTACAATAACATTAATGTATCCTAATTCAATATGTCTCTATTTCAACCAGTATGCATGTTACATTATTTTCTTTCAAAACAATTTTACCATCAACGAAAAAGAATAATATCTCTTAGTACACACGAATCAAAGACTCATGTTACCAAATGACCTAATTGATATATAAGGGTGCTGAATCGGAAAAATAAGCACCGTTTATAAGGTATACAATCAGCATATAGTCTTATTACACACAACACATGTTGTGTATAATAATGATATGTAATGTTGCTTCATAATTATAGCGTACTGTATAATAATATGTGATGTGCTGAAATTAATTAATATTTTATTGTATAAAACGATAACTGTCAAACTCAAATTCTACGTTTGAAGATTAGATTTACATTTTGTTTAGTTTACGTGTAACTCCACCATGAGGTTTTTGAAGGAAATTTAATAAATAAGAATACTACACCAAATCAAACAAATATGATAACATTATTCTATAGTTCAATTTAATAATTTTTTATTATTATTGTATTGAGTTTTCTTAAGTCAATAATACCAATTTCTCAAAATTTTATATAAACAATTTTATTTTTAACATTAATAATTGTCAAAAACATTGCTTTGTTTACTCAAGCATTTTCATTTATTTGACATTGTGAACAAAAAATTGTGTTATTTTTAATAAATATAAAACTTGTATAAATTATATTTGATTTGAATTTAAAGCGGGTCTTATTCGGATCTTATTCTCTAAATGAGTCATTTGATTCTCATTCCAGGTCGATTTGTTTTCCAATTTAATTTTCTATGGCTTCTTTGATCCGAAGAGATTTGATATTCGGTTTGATTATGCAGGATTTTAGAGAGCTTTGGTCTCCGTGCGGGCGATTCGACCGTCGGCTTTGTATTTGATGTCCTCTTTGGACGATCCGTGGCTTTGATCTTTGATTTGACTTTGCCATATTTTGGAGGGTTTTGGTCTCTGTGTAGACGATTTAATCATTAGCTTTGGATTTGTTTTCTTCTTTAGACGATCCGAGTTTTGATCTTTGTTTTGGCTTTGCCGCTTTTAGAGGACTTTGGTCTCCACGTGGCGATTTGGTCATCGGCTTTGGATTTGATATCTTCTTTGAATGATCCGCAGCTTTGATCTTTGGTTTGGCTTTGCCGCCTTTTGGGGAGCTTTGGTCTCCGTGTGGGCGATTTGATCATCGACTTTGAATTTGACGTCTTCTTTGGACAATCCGCTGCTTTGATATTTGGTTTGGCTTTGTTGTTTTTAAGGGAGCTTTTCCTTGGCTTTGATGGATTCTTCAACGGCTTTTGAAGCTTTGATCCTTCTTCCGGCGTGGGCATACGACGAAGAACATTAACTCCATGGATTCATCAACCAATATTGGATAATTTGTCCAAATCTGTGACTCTCAATGAAGAATGTTTCGAAGGACACAAAGAACATGGAGAACAATACAAATAGAGTATAGAGACTTACCCCTTTGCTTGAATCCTTGACGTAACTTCAGTGTCTCAAATGAATTGACAATGACGCCTATTTATAGGGAAGGAGTGACCTCGAAGGAGTGACCTCGAAGGAGTGACCTCGACTTCCTTTTTTAATGGTGCCACGTGGCGTGTTCTGATTGGCCAATAGAAAATTGTTATAATCTTTCATTTTCCATGAGATGCTCTTTTCCATCTCGACGGATTTGATTGTGCATCTTCTTTTTTCGCCAAGATCTTTACATCATTGCCCTTTTTCGCAAGATATTAATTTATATTCTTCTTTTATTGACAATATTAATTTATTTTGGTGCCAAATTTATTATGGCTCTATTTATACACGTAATATTTGTATGATATCTTTTATTTTAAGCAGATTTTTGCATTAATGGTTGATATTTATTGTACAAAAATTAATATATGTGCATAATTAAATACCATATATTTATTTTATTGAAATTTTATTTTTTTCTAAAATACGTGATATTTAATTTAATTTTTTAATAACTGCATATACTATTTATTTTTTTAAAATATCAAATATACTTTTTTCTTTTTCTAAAATAATATTAACTCAAATATTAACCTCTCTCATTTTTTATTTTTTTATTTTTTTGGCGACTTCCAAAATTTCAGAAGTCACTATCTAAACAATACAAAGCCATTTTGAAGAAATTATCTACTGTTGGGGTGTCTTTGTTTAGGGATTTGGATTTTGTCCCCCCACCCCCACCTAAAACAATTTTTACTGAATTTATTATTATTATCTGGGCATTGGGCTTTAAAAGCGCAGCAAGAATTTGGGCTTTAGAAGCGCAGCAAGAATTTGGGCTTTAATGGATGACTCTTTCACACCTTATCCATTTTCCGATAACGGCCTCTTGTCCGTAGATAGAAACTACTGCAATGCAACGTGCATTGCAGGCTGCGTGTGGAATGTAATTGACGCAGATTTTTGTATTCTACTGCAAATTCTCCTGAAGATTAACGTATTCTGCTTGTGATCATCGACCAACCGTTTTCTGACGAAGCATTGAATCAAATCAGCAAACAATTCGGTACAAATTGCTCTTGACGACCATGATTACTCAACCCAATATCAATCCGGCGATTCAGTTCGCAGCTCTGACTATCCGCCATGGCTTCCTCTTCCCGCCGGCCGCCGCCGTACGCCGGGCCGCGAAGCTCCGGGCGTTTTCGACCAACAAGGATCAGATCGAGAGGATTCCGGATAAACCGCCGGTATGCACCGCCGACGAGCTCCACTATGTAACTATCGATAATTCGGAGTGGAGACTCGCTCTCTGGCGCTACAATCCCTCGCCTCAGGTACTGCTCGAATTTACATTACGATGCAGCTGTTCTAATTTGGGGGAAAAGGTTTTGATGAAATGGACTTCTATTGGTATTAGGCTCCACCAAGAAATCTTCCATTGTTGCTGTTGTCGGGCGTCGGAACAAACGCCATTGGATATGATCTTGCTCATGGGGTAAGTTTACTCCTCAAATTACATAGAAAACCGTTCTGAAATGTTCATCCAGCCATTCATAGTTAAGGGTGGATTAATTCCTGACTGAAATATCCATAATTGTTTTTGTGTAAGTAGTTAAGCAATCAGATTCCTTTGCTCCATGAAATTGTATTTCGTAGCTCAGTAGCTGCTTATAATGCTCTATTACTATGGTGCTCTAACAACATAGTCAGGTTGAAAATTGTAGAAATGGATTTATGCATTTGCTCTAGATTGAGGAGATTTGTAGTAAGAAAGTAAAGCTGACTATTGCTTAAAAAAAAAAATTCTTTCCAGTCTTCATTTGCTCGGTATATGTGTGGCCAAGGATTCGACACCTGGATTCTGGAAGTTCGAGGGGCTGGATTGAGCGCAAAAGGGTCAGATTGTGAAGATGTTGAGAAGTCAGCTCATGCAATATCTGACCAAATGGAAGCTGCAGCAGAGTATGTGGCTGAAGGGGCTATACATTCAAACCAAAATGGTGCCAATGGAAAAACAGAGACAGCTGTGATCAATGAAGAATCAGATGGGGATGAAACCACTTGGGATAAATCAAGATTAGCTACAGAACTGACTGAAGTTTTTTCTCGCTTGTCCGAAAGGCTTTCTGGTTTTCTTAGCGAAAGCCAGTCGAATGATATGTTTGCCAGATTCTTGGATCAAATATCAAAACAGCTAGAGAATTCCTTTATAATCGAACGGTATAGTGAATTGAGGGAAAGGCTCTTAAGTTTGCTGAAAACAAGGCAAGACTCTGCTGTGGCAAGCCAGATTAGAGATCTGAGCCAGAAACTAGTAGATATCATTGATGAGGCTCAGCGTTCTGTTTCGCCGCAGATTTTTGATCTGCAAGAGAGGCTGATGACAACTGTGGAAGATTTTCAGAAGCAGTTGGATTTGATTGTCAAATATGATTGGGACTTTGATAATTACCTGGAGGAGGATGTTCCTGCTGCGGTGAGGTGGCCTCTCTTATTGGTTATGCTCATAATATGTTGTTAGCATTGTTGTTATTACCGAATTTCTTGATTTTCATTGAGAATCTGCATTATTTTCACCTTTATGTAATAGATGGAATATATCCTTGCCCAATGCAAACCAAAGGATGGTCGGTTATTTGCAATTGGACACTCCATGGGAGGTATCTTGCTATATGCCAGACTTTCACGATTTGGTAAGTCTTGTAAATACTTTGGATCTATAGATGAGGAGCCCTTTTTATTTGAACTAGGAAGTATTGGTTGTTATGCCTCTTTGATGGCTTCTTTCGATATAATTGTTATATTATTGAGTTCATAGCTCAACTTGAAGACCGAACTTACTGTATTTTAATGTGAGCTTTGATATTTTGGGGGGAAGAACATGTCATCTATCTATATACTCATGCTACATTGCTTTCATAATCGCGCTTTGGTGGATACAAAAAAATTTCATAATGAATTGATTCTGAAAGGTTTTGAGGGCAGAGATCCTGGATTAGCTGCTATTGTGACATTGGCCTCATCTTTTGACTACACAACCTCAGAATCATCACTCAAACTGCTCCTGCCCCTTGTAAGCACGATTCTTTTCGATCTATCTCCTATACATTAAAAAATGGCTTTTGTAATATGTTGGTTTCATGCAGGCAGATCCTGCGCAAGCTCTCAATGTGCCGGTCGTCCCTTTAGGAGCATTCCTCTCGGCAGCTTATCCTCTTTCTTCTCGTCCACCTTATGTGTTGTCTTGGCTAAATGATCTCATATCATCAGAAGATATGATGCATCCGGAACTGTTGAAGAAGCTCGTTTTAAACAATTTTTGTGAGTTCAGATATACTCTATTTATCGATGATTAATTAGCAGCTAGTGATGGCTACATCAAACCTGAATAATGAATTTCACAACTACTTTCAGGTACCATCCCCGCGAGACTAATATTGCAGCTAACAACTGCCTTTCGAGAGGGTGGACTTCGCGACAGGAGTTGTAAATTCTTCTACAAGGATCATATTCATAAGAGCAATATCCCTGTCCTAGCTCTTGCTGGTGACCGTGACTTGATTTGCCCACCAGAGGCTGTATATGGTTTGTTTTTCTAATTCTGTTCGACTACCGGGCTCTGGATGTAAAACGCATTGCAGCCACTCTTTTTGTCACACTGTTTAAATGTTTTTGTCCATCCAGAAACTGTGAAGCTCATTCCCGAGCACTTGGTCACGTATAAGGTGCTTGGAGAACCTGATGGTCCGCATTATGCTCATTACGACTTGGTGGGAGGGCGAATGGTCTGCATATTTACGATTTTTCTTCTCAATAGATATTAATCTGTTCCTGGAAGCTCTATCTTGAATGCTCATGCATTAGTAATCCTTGCAGGCTGTTGAACAAGTGTACCCCTGCATAATCGAATTTCTAAGCCGCCATGACTTGCCTCAGTAAACTTGGCTATGGTTATGGGTATGGCCTTAGTGGGATATCATCAGGAAGCAATCTTCGATTTCACGGCATTAATTCCTCAACCAGTTTACAAATATGGTGTTCGCCGCGGGGTTCTTTGATTCTGCCATGGATCCCTTTGGCGAGCTATTCTAAACATCCTGCCTTTAATTTTGTGTTTAAATGAAGAATTGCAATTGCTTGTGAAGTTCTATAGTAGAAATTTTTTTTACCTGAATCTGAATCAAATTATCATTAGAATAATTTCTTCATCTTCATAAAGATTGCATTCCAAGAAGATTACAAATACAACTAATTATATACTTCTATGGTGAATTTCCTGACATGTTTACTGGAGTTTATTTCACACATCAATGTTTGGAAATGGTACAGGAAACATAAGCACACAACAATTCCTCATCATGAAGCACACAAAGTTCCACACAGTCAGGTTGCAAACATAAATGGAAGAATGAAAATTTGTTGTCTCCCTGCAAATTTCCTCATTTGGGAATGGCAGCAGATTTGCAGATAGGGCACTGATTCTTCTGTAAGAGCCACTGTTTTATGCACTGCACATGATGATAATGGCCACAGTCCAGTCTTCCTATTTCATCATATTTTCTGCACTTCTCCTGTATTAGATTAAAACACTTTAGTGGATTTTATTACCAGATGATTTATATTTTAAGACAAAAGAAAATCAGGTTAGGTCTACTTGGCAAATGCTGCACTTCCAATCCTTCTGACCATTCATAAGCTGCCACGAAGTGGAATTAGAGGTAATATTATGCTTGAATTTCCTTATGCAGTTTGATATTTCTTCCTCTTGCAATCCAGTGCCTACATGCCCTATTTTATCACTCAGTTCCAACAATTCCTGAAAGAAAATTGATTAATTGTTGAAATTTTAGATCAAATAGGACACTAAATTTTCTTTTGGATGTTTTAAATGCATACATACCTCATATGACATATCATCGACATTGAGTCTCCAGTTTTGGTATTGATCATGAAGATCAATGATTCCATTGTACGGTAGAGTTTGTTGGGCCATCAGCATCTGCAAAATTTCATTTAATTTTTTTATTTTGAAAAATGACTTCAATAATTGCCTAAAAACATAGCATGTGAAGAAGATAGTCTGGTCAGTCAGACAGACCTGTATGGCTTCTTCAGCCGAACGATGATGATCAGCTCTTGTCCCATTAATAACTGTTTCCTCATTTCCATGTCTCCTGGTTTCTCGAGAATGCTAATTGAAACAGCCTGAGTTATTAGTATTCAAGAAAAAAAAAATACATCTGTTGCTTTTAGACTAATTCATCTTGATTTCAATCATTGGCAGGATCATTAATTTCCAGATTCATGTTGCAAAAAAGAAGAACAAGAACAGGAACAGGAAAAAACCTGTTCATCTGTTCCTAAAAATAGCAATGGTGTACCTTTCTATGATGGAGCCTTGGACCAGCATCAGTGTTCTTACTCCTAGGTGCAAAATCAGAAGCAATGCCGATGCCAGGGGGGGTGCAGCAGACATCAGGGATATCCACAACAACATTCTCTGGTCTCCTTTTATTACTATTATTTTTACAGTGTGGTTGTTTTCCTCTTCCATGGTTGTGATCTTCTTGCCTGAGCTGAAGTGCTGACTTGGGTGCTAATGGTGCAGGAATTGAAGTCCCCTTACATCCCAACCCTTTGATCTTCACAAACACAAACTTGTTCTTCTTCTTCCTTAATTGGGTTCTTGATTCAGCACCAACAGAGGAATAATTTTCAGATCTGGGCTGTGAAAACGAGACTGATGATCTGTGTTGAGTTTGGGATTGGGGTTTTCTTGGAGCTTGTGGCATTATGGTTTTCTGGGGCTTTCAATTCCAAGCACGAATGAAGATGGAACCAAAATTGACCAAGATTTGAAATTTATTCAAGATTAATTGCTACGAGTTCGTGTGTGTGTGTTTGTTGTTGTTGCTGTTTCTTTCTTGGCAGGTCCCAGGATCCCAGGTCCTCCCTGAATCCCAACCCTTGAATTAAACAGGTACAGCAACTACTCCTGGACCCTGCCAAGAATGACAAAGACTATATACTAGTACTGTTTATCATGTCCTTGTTTTGCTCTCTATCTGTGTTATAGAGACAGCCCATGATGTGTGTTTTTTTGTCTTTGTGAACTTAAACATTTCTTCTCTGTTGTCTTTTCTTTTCTGCACATTTGTCCACCATTATCTCTCACATTATTTATTTATTTTATTCTCGGAATTGTGTTTGATATGCAGTTGCAAGCTGGCCTGCAAAAATTCAAACAACCATGTCCTATAGAGGGAGAAAAGAGAAAGGTAATTGCTCAGGTATTATTATGCTGTCATGATCTCCTTCCAGCATTTCTTGTCTCTTTCTACTGCTCTTTTTTGTTGCCTTCCCAGTGAAGCTGTCTAAATTAGATCCATCCATTAAGCTCCTTTTACATAAAGGTTTTTAAAGTTAAAATGTTTGATGTAGAAAAAAAAATATTCTTCATGTCTTAAAAGAATAGGCTTATTGGGATTGGACAAGGTGTTTAAACAGTAATAATATTACATTAAAAATAGATATAAAGTAGAAATTAAAAATAAAAATATCTTTGTAAGCGTATTTATGTAATAATAATAAAAAAATAAAAATAATTTAACAGAGTTATTATTTTGAAATGTATCAAAATAAAAAATTAGAAGTATGGTTTTAAAACTGAAAATATATATTTTTTTGAAAAAAAAAAAATACAGAGTTAAATAATAAAATTTGAAAATTTTTTAATAATAAAACAAACTAAGTATTTAAAATATTCATTTGACATGTTTTTTTCTTTTAAAAAAGAATTATTATTAATAAACAACTTCGTAGATCTCCAAAAGTATATTTATAAACAAAATATAAATGAGCACAGTAAATATATGATACAAATGCGACTGATTTGTTTATGAAAGTATTTTTGTATATTATATGTTCTTTTATCAAATTACATCCAATTTTTATTACTCATAATTTATTTACTTTTTTCCTTAAAAAACATCAAATATAGTACCTATTATTTTATCTTTTATATTATAATAATTTTTTCTTTCCTTTTTTACATATATTCAAAACATCTCATCTATGTATAACATTATACAACTATTATAATTCAAAATTTTTACTATTAAAATCTCGAATCAAAATCCAAACCTCCAAACAAACACACCCTACCAATATATTATATCGTTAAAAATTAGTTAGAAACATATACTCCATCCCTCCTACAAATTTTATTCCCGTTTGAATTGAATATAAATTTTAATGAATATATTATATGTTTATAGTGATATAAAATAAGAGTATTTTATAAATTGAATATGTAGCTAGTTATAATATATAATTTTAATAATAATAATATTGAAATGTATAAATTAAAAAAAATTATTTGTTATAAATAAAAAAGTATATGTTTTTTTGGACAATAAAAAAAACAATAAAAGCACATAAAATATTATTTTATATGATATATTTATAATTTTCTATATAAAGAAAAAACATTCCTTAAATATAATTTCCTATAAACTAGAATTTTGAATGTAAAAAAACAAACACACTCTGCCTAATGCAATTGTGAAATTAGGCCCTGGGCCGTGGATAAAAATTATCATTGTAAAAAACTGCATAAAATATCATATAGAAAGCCCAAGCCCAATATTTATTTCTATATCTTCATGAGCCCAACCTAGAATTATGTGCATTGGGCCTACCCAAATCTGCATAAATTGGGCTGAACCAATGTTGATTGCAAATTTCAATCGCGAGTAGGCTTTCTTGGGTTTTGAATAATTAATTATTATAAAAATAAAAATATTTGCAGCCCGGCCGGCGGACGAAAATGGACGCTTCTGCGCGAGCTCTGGTCGAGGCCATCCACGCCACTCCCACTCAGGCCGTGCTGTACCTCACCGGCGGAGCTTCTCAGGTAACTATGGTGAAATTCATGTAAGGTTGGGGATATTTGGTGAGGTAATGTCCCGAGTGAAGAATCAAATTTGAAATTTATAGGCGATTGGATGGTTGCTGGCTTTGCCCGGAGCTTCAAATACTGTTTTAGAAGCCGCGGTGCCGTATTCGCGAATGTCCTTGATTCATTTACTGGGAAAGGTAGGTAGCTTTTTTTTTTATTGGTGGTTGAATTTTGGTATTGCTATGAGGCAATGGCCTCCTCCGATTGTTTGATGCAATTGACTCAGTTATGGAGGTTCTATAGGTGAATTTATTGTTTATTTGGTTTTTTTTTTTTTTTTTTAAGGTTCCAGCTCAATTTTCTAGTCGACAGACTGCAGAGGACATGGCGTTGATGGCATACAATAGAGCTCTGAAGCTATCTCATCCAGGTTTGATCTTTCTTTTCTTCGATTGCTAGGTTTATGACAGTGATTTTATTTAAATTTCTTAAATATCCTGAACTGTATGCTATGTGTTTCTTTTCGATGATCAATAATCAACTTTCGTGAAAAATGATGTAAGTTAATTGCGATTGATTTGTGTACAATTATGAAGGAAATTAATTTTCTACCAAACATTATTCCTTAGATCTTTTTGTTCTTTGACAGATTCTTTGGCGTTCTAGCCTTTTGTACTTGCTTTTAGTTCCTCATCTTCTGTTGGTTCAAGGATTTCTGGTTTCAAATTTGTTCTGTAACTCATGGTTTTGATCTGCTGTTTAATGTTTATACGTTAAGGAACTTGTGTTTTTATCAATGCTTGAATTCAGGCGTTCCTGTTCTTGGAGTGGGCTTCAGTGGCTCTTTGGCAAGCTCACAACCAAAGCGAGGGGATCATAGGTATTGCACAAAATTGATTGTTTGACTCCTTTCAGATCATTCTTTAGATCTTTTGATAAATGTTTTTTGATATCTTTGGCGATCAAAATGGCCTTAGCTTCCAAATTTTGATGTTAATGCTTATAAAATTTGTTTACAAGCTTGACACAAAATTATCCAGTGGATCAAACTCTACGTGATGGGATCTTAGTTGATGCAGTTGTTGTCAAATCATGGTCTTGACACTTTTTTTCATGACACTGATAGAAAAACCAAAATTGATGATAGGTTAAGAACCTTGAAACTTTTTGTCACATTCTTGACTCGCTTTATTAAGTAAATCTGCAAGCCAAGGTATGCGTTGACAAGCAAGAAACTCATCAAGCGATTTGCTATATACTGTCCATTTGTCGTTCATCTGCACAGTGCACACCAATCTTTATTTTGTATAGAAATAGATTACACCCAGGAGGGAAGTCAGTATTTTCTTAAGCTTATGTTTGTTTCTTGAAAATACTGAATTGTATAGAAATAGAGCTTCACCCTTGTTGGCATTATGACAAACTTCTGTCATCCCATTTGTGAGATACCTTAATGTTATTAGAGGGAGTATTCTTTTCACATCCAAAATGTGGGACCTAAATAATGTGTCTCGATTTGTGGGTGTCGCTTCATGAACTGCAGTAGTTTATTAGATTAAGTTCCTTATGATCTTCATTATCAATTTTTTCCAGGTGCCATCCTATACATCTTAGCAAGAGGAGAAAATGTGTTTCAAACTGAAAAACTAATTCATATGTTGTAACTTGAATGTAGGTTTCATGTATCAACTAGGACATCTTCCCAGCTTTGGGCCTCTACTGTTACTTTGAGCAAGGTATGACATAATTCCCATACACATGGCAGTTAGTTCTTTTTGAATTATTTAGGGTGTGTTTGTTTGGGGGATTGGATTTCCAATCCACTATTTATCCCATTTTTTCCCCCAAAAAAACATCAAATCAAACACCTATTTTTCATTTTTTATATTATACTAAAAATCAATTTTACATTCAAAACATCACATCAACACCTATTGATATCACATCATATAACTATTCAAATTCAAATTTTTTACTATTCAAATCTCAACTCAAAATCCAAACCCCCAAACAATCATTTCAAATTTTTTACTATTCAAATTTTTTACTAATGAATCCATCATTTCAGGGTTTACGAACTCGTGAACAAGAAGACCGAGTTTCCAGCCAATTCCTATTAAAGGTATTGCATTGCATTATTACACTGTTTACAAACGCATATGTTCAATATAAAGATTGCAGCTAAGTGTGTACATGTAGATGAATGCATGTGGCTGATTATCTTTGTGTTTGAGATAGGTTAGCTTTTTAGAATTCTGATTTCTGGGTGTGATTCTAATAATTAGAGTACTATTTTAGCAACTGGTTTGTAAGTGAGAGTTTGCTACCTATGTTCGATGTTAAGAAGAATGGTAGTATCGGGCTACTTTGCTGGAAGCTACTGTTCTATTCATATGGCTGGTGCCGGTTTATTTCCATGCTCTTTTTGGTTGTGTATAATGCTTCTGTTCTATTTAAAGTATGATTTTTCCAAACTCATAGAATGATCACCAATGAATCTTTAAGCATACCAGACACCATTGTCTTGCTATAAGTCATAGTCCTGGCAACTAGTTATGATTTTGATTCTGAATGTATAGAGTAGTACGGGGATTTGTGGGTAATCTTTTGTCGCTTAAGTACTTATTTATTAATCTTGAGAACTTTGATTATGCATTCTATTTCTCTAGTTGCTCTTTCCAATGTTGGAACTTTCATTGACTGCACTTTTGAGTAAAATGTGGATTCTCTTTATCTGTTTGTAGGCAATAGCATATGCTTGCAAGGTTCCCGGAACATATGTTTCTGAATTAACTGATACAGAAATTCCTGATGATTTTGAAATACAATTTGATGAAGATCAGGAGTTGGAACAACTAATTAATGGTCAAATATGCTTTAAGGTTTACCCCTTTCTAGGTGGTATGTTTTAAGCTACATTCAGCTTGAAAATCATGTAATTTTTTTTATTTCTTTGTTTTTTCATTGTGAAGGGAATGTTGTGCAGATATGTCGAACGAAACTAGGAAGGTTATCCTCTCTGGCTCTTTTAATCCTTTGCACGATGGTCACCTCAAGCTCTTGGAAGTTGCCGTAAGGTATCCTCTGGGTGGTAGTGGTTCTTATAATCAGCCTTAAATCGAACATTCCACCATACTTACTCTTCCCCTCCTTCCCTCATTTTCATACAAATTTCCAAAGTCTTCTTAATTCGATGTTTATATGCTCTTACACACAATTTGAGCCCTCTACGTTTATTCTTTGCAGCATTCTTGGTGAAGGATATCCATGCTTTGAGTTGTCTGCAGTGAATGCAGACAAACCTCCATTGTCCGTTTCTCAAATAAAGCAACGTGTCCAGCAGTTCGAAAAAGTTGGTGAGATTTACCATATAATTCTTTTTTAAAGCTTAACACTAACATATGTTACATTTCAAGGGATGTTGAGTACTGGTTTTCTTTTTTTATGAAATATCTCCTTATAAACCAGGACATTTTTATGGCCCTAACTATCCTTTTTCCAAAGAAAACTGTGAATATCTTTTGAAAGCTAACTTATATCTAAGATGGCTGATCATCATGTGCATATTATTTAGATTTTCGGAAGTTAGACATGAGGTAGCGCCGTCAATAACACACCACATGATACGCTTCTTTAATTCGGTTCTCCACCTTCCATGTGCAGGGAAGACTGTCATAATCTCCAACCAGCCATACTTTTACAAAAAAGCCGAACTTTTCCCAGGAAGCGCATTCGTGATAGGTGCAGATACTGCAGTCCGGCTTATAAATGTAAGGAACCAATTTTCTATTGAACTGCATTATGGTTCATTTCAAAATTTCCCAATCTCGATTGAAAACCAATGTTTATAATCCATGAAGCTAACAAGATACACTAGAAAACTAAACGAGTTGAAATGGAATTAACTTGTTGTTTGCCATATTCACGATTGTTGTTCTCAGATACGTGGGGGCTAGGGCTAGGGCTAGGGTTAGGGCACTTGATCCCCAACCCCTAAAATATAGGATTTTTTTTAGTGTAAAAAATAATAAAGTTATGTAATTTATTTATTATTTTGCCCTTCTATTTTTCAATTTTTTTTTTTTTTTTTTTTTTATATGTTATAGTGTAAAAAATAATAAAATTTTTGTAGTTTTGTCGATTTATACTTTTAGATTTTAATTTTTTTAGTAGAAATTATTGAATTTTATTAAATTTTCTTAAATATTTCTCTAAAATTTAATTTTTAGCTATTTTTTTCCTTCTTTCTTGTTTATTCGGTTGCATTGAAAGAAATCGAAAAAGACAATATTAAATTAAAAAGAAAGGTGAATCGACATTTTGCCCGCCCTAAACTCAGGGCTGGTTCCGTCACTGGTTGTGCTTATGAAAAGGTTGAAACTAGCTTTATATTCTCGGTGTCATTTTGCAGCCAAAGTACTACGGCGGCAGTTACGAAAGAATGATAGAAATCCTCTCCGCCTGTAAGAACACGGGATGCAGTTTCCTCGTTGGAGGGCGAAATGTAGAAGGCAGTTTCAAGGTTATGTCCTGGCTATTGCTTGTTTTCGAATTTTAGTTCACAGTTGACTGAAGCTTAAAACTGTTGTGGAAATGTTTAGGTCCTCGGTGACTTCGACATCCCGGAGGAGCTGAAATCGATGTTCATATCGATCCCAGGTGAGAAGTTTCGGGTGGACATTTCATCAACTGAAATAAGGAGAACTCAAGGCTTGGTCTGAATTCAGCTGACCTGATTAATAATATTCTTGCATTGCATTGAAGAACAATCAGGTACACTACATAATTTGACATGTTGAATTTTAGAGCTGTCGATCTTAGATTTGAATTTTTTGTTTTTATTTTTTCATTTAAGTGTTAGTATATATATATATATATATATTGTGATTTTAGCACAATAAGCAAATTATACAGCATAATATATAATAGGCACGACACATTATATAATACTCTCTCCGTCCGTCTCAAACGATTACATTTACATTTTGTATCATTGTATTTAATTAAAACTACCTTTATATTTGTATAATTTTTTTTGTACAAATGTCATTATTTAATATTACTTATGTCCGGCTCTAATGGTTTCATTTATTTTTTTCGTATTAATTTTTTAATATTAATTATTATATCAAAACATAGTACAAATTAGCAAAAATTTGTAAAAATACTTGGATTAGTATCTTATAATACTAATAGAAGAACATTTGTAAAAAAAATTATACAAACATAAGGATCTTTTTAATGTTAAGTACAACGACGTAAAAAGTAAATGTGACCTTTAGAAGCGGACAAATGGAGTATTATAAGACACTAATTGAAATATTTTTTTATTATTTTTTTTTATTTGTTTTATATTTTGATATAATAATTAATATTCAAATATTAATATGTAAAAATAATAAATATAATTCTTGGGTCGGATGGAGGTACTACCTTAGCTTTTGTCGTATATACACACATTAGTAAAGAGGACTATAGAACTTTGAGAAGCTCCAACGGGCAAAAATTCACACTCTCCAAATCTGTTTCCATGCAAATGCAATCGTCCACTAACCGTTGCCAATGATGTGACTTGTGAGGACAAAATAAGTAGATAAAAATTACCGGTTTCGTATTATATTGGTACGTAGGAATAAAATAAAAATGACTAAAATAATCTTATTAGTATTATATAATATTAAAATAATAATATTTGTGTAATATATTGAAAATTGTAAGAGTATTTGTAATTCTATGTGTACAATACAATTACTAAAAAAATTAAATGAATATTTTGTCATGGAATCAATTAAAATGAAAAAATAAATAATTTGTTGAGAAAGGATAATAAAAATATAAATATATACAATAGTAGAAGAAGAGAACGAGAAAGCAAGAGAAAAAAAAAATAAAATAAAATAAAAAATAAAAAATAAAAATAAGAATAAGAATAAATAAGAAAAAGGAGAGAAAAAAAAAAGGGAAAGTGATAAATTAGTGATTTTTTGTCAATATATTATAATATTTTATTATATATTTATTATAGATTTTATAATTGTAATTGTATTGAGTTTAATTTTATAGTTTATCAAACAATATATATTTTTAATTATTATTGATAGTTTTCATATATATATATATATAATTCATACGGGTTAAAGTATATACCCTTCATCGATTAACTATCCTTTAAAAAAAAAATAAATAAATTGGTATGTTTTATAATAAAGTATTTATTTATTTTTTTATAATTATATTATTTATATAATATTACAAATACCTTTTAAATTTATAATATATTATACAAATGTCATTATCTTTATATTATACAATACTTATAAGATTAGTTTAATTATTTTACTTTTATTTTTACTACCTTTCAATATAATACTAGTATTTTTAAAACTTTGTACTAAAAGTAAACGAATATATAAATATGAGACGGATGGAGTATATAACATAAAATACTCCATTCGTCCCACTTGAATGCACATCTTTGGAGTTTTGCAGGAAATTAATAATAATAATAGTTTATTGGTTATTAAAGTGTAGAAGAACTTTTGACGTTTTTGTTATTTGACTTTATGTATGAAGTAATTATATGTATGCAATGGATATTTATAATTTAAGTAAAAATTAAAAGTATTTTACTATTGTGTATATTTATACTAAAATATAAAAAAAATACTTTTGAGTGAAATGTACGAAAATAGTAAAAGTGTAATTTGAAATAGGAGGGAGAGAGAAACATACAATATTACTCACACTGTCCCACTCCAAAAGGATCCTTTTGGGTTACGTAGTAAATTAAAAAATAATAGTATTTTATTGGTCAGTGAAAGTGTGTAAGATGTTTTGATATTTTTTTTCTTTGACTTTATGTATAAAATAATTATATTTGTAATGGCATGTTTGTAGTTTTGGTAAAAATAAAGAGTTTTTTATATTATTGTATAATCACTTTTATTAAAATATAAAAATAATACTTTAGAGCAGGACAAACGAAAAGAGTTAGAACTGAGAAAAAATTAAATCTTTTCAATATAAAAATACTATGGTAGTTTCCATAATTTTTTAAAACAATCTAAAATATAATTTTTCATAAAAAAAAAAGAATAGTTAATTGTTTTTAGACAAAAAAAAATCATAAATTAATGTTACTTTCCATAAAAGAAAATTAATTTTTTCCTTAAGAAAAACTTCATAAATTAATATACTTTCCATAAATAAGTTACTTTTTCCTTAAACAAAATATTCATAAATTAATATACTTTCTGTAAAATAATTTACTTTTTCTAAATAAGAAAATCATAAATTAATATGCTTTCCATAAAAATTAAAACTTATCAAAAGTTATTTTTAAAAAATTTTATTATGAGACAATCCCAAAAATTATACTTAGCGTTTGCCACAGAGAATGAATCGCAGATAAAATAAATGGGAGTAGAGAATAGAATTAGAGAAAAATAGAATTTAATAGAGAATGAAATCAGAGATAAATGAAATTTAGTAGAAAATGACAATTAATTCTCTTGTTTGGTAAAACAAAATAATTCAGTTGAGAAATGTAAAAACAAATGCATAATAAGAATAAATGATTAACTGGATTAAAAAAAATAAGAGTTTTTTTATGAATGAAAACTCATGAAAATATTTTTGGTGACTTTTTGTTACAAAAATTATAAATTATATATGATGTTTTTTAAAATTATATTTTAGTACAATTTCTTACAAAATCATAAAAATTAAATACTTTCACAATAAATTAAATTTGGTTTGTAAAATTTATATAATATAATTTTTTAAAAAAATATAAAAATTAAATAGTAGAAAAAATAAAAAATATACTGCCAAAGTTATTTTTTTCCATTTCTCTGCATATAAAAGGGAAATGAAAATAGATAAATAAAAATAATTTATTTATCTAACTCAAACAAACAAGAGAAATAAGACCATTTCTATTTATCTAGTCTCATTTCTATGTACTAAAGACACCCTTAATATATATTTCTTTATAAATAATAATCATTATGACATACTCCGTCCGTTCCACTTAATTTGTCATTTCTTTTTTTGAAAATATATTATACATTTTAATCACATTTAAAATTTAAAATTTATATATATATATATTTTTTTAATTAAATTATTTAATCATCTTAATTTTAATATATAATTATTTTTAGTAATATTTTTTTTAATTATTTACTAAGTACTTAGAACTATGTGTCTAAGTTAAAATTTAAATATGACGAAAGGAGTAACTTTATTAAAACTTAAAAAATAAAAAATATTTAAAATTTTAGAAATTTAATTTTAATAAAAATAATTAATTTATATTATGCGAATAGTTAATTGTATTATATAAATTGTATTATATAAATTTATAACTCCTTGCCGTAGTATCAACCAATCAAATGATATAATCAATACAGAATTTATTTAAATCTTATCCAAATTTGACTGGTCACAATGTAATTATTTAAATAGAATCTATAAATATACGCACTTTACAGACCAGAGTCCCAATTCCCAAACAATGCCTTCTATAACTCATATCTTAATTTTTCTATCAGCCCTTACTATTGCCTCAGGTAATTTCTTGATTCTCTTCCTATATATATTTCTCTAAAACAATTTTTTTCTAAAAAATGATTAAGAATTTGTTTGGACATGGTTTGAAATTGATTTAAAATAAAGTATTAGTTCAAGTTTTTGATTTAACAGTATTTTGATGTGATCTTTTTTTTATATAAAAAAAATATTTCATCCGCTTCATATTTATATATCCATTTGTTTTTTGCACGAAATTTTAAAAATATTAGTATTATATTAAGACGTAGTGGAAATAAAAGTAAAAAGAGTAAAGTAACCTTATTACTATTGTATGATATAAAAGTAATGACATTTGTGTAATATATTGTAAATTAGAAGGATATTTGTAATGTCATGTAGATACTACAATTACTAAAAAAAAATAAAAATAAATACTTTGTTACATTATAGATCAAAATAGAAAAACGGATAAATTGTTAAGGGACGGAGAGAGTAATATATTTTTATTTAAAAGTATACAAAATAAATGGTATTAATTTTTGATTGGTTTTATACGAGTGCAGTCACAAAAGCTACACATCAAGAAAATGACTTTGAGCCAACGGTACTTGATGATCGTTGTTTAAATTATTTGGCTCCATGCTACAATATTGAGGAGTGCAAAAACGGGTGCATTAAGGCATGGTCCGATCGACATCCCGAGGGAGAGTGTTATCGTGATTGTCCTATATGTTCTCTCGATTGTTATTGTCGCCATGATTGTTAGCTATCATTGACGACTAGAATTTCTCATAATTATTGCAATTAATATGTGAAGCTTAATATATATCGGCCGTGTTTTCTATTCAGGGTTATGAATTGTTCGATTATATTTTTTTAACACAAAAAATACATATCATATTAACTATAAGTTAATTAATCCCATGTTTAGAAAAGAAAAAAATTATATAAAATATTTTACTTATTTATATAAAACTTACTTAATTTTAGGTATTTCTTTAAAATCAAACATTAATTCCGGACAAGAATGGTGTTTCAAACAAATTTTATATTAACGCAGAGGGTTTCAGGTAATAAATAAAATACGAGCTGTTTTATACAATTTTTACTAAAATACAAAGAGATGTTATATAATTTACCTTATATATTTTTCTCATTTTCGTTCGTTCCTCTCAAAATGATCTATTTTCAGTTATAATAAAAAAGTTATATTATAAAACTCTCTCTTGTACTTTCGTAAAAATGCACAAAATATCATGTGTTTTATTTATTACATGAAACTCTTTATGTTAATATAAAATTTGTACAAAACACACTCCTTGTTCAAAATTGATATTTGGTTCTAAATAAATACCTAAATTATGCAAGTTTTATACAAATACAAATCCTAAAAATATTTTAAATAATTTTTTGAATAAAATAAATAAATAATTGATCAATCATTTATTTTTATAATTTTTGTAAAAATCATATAACAATTTACCTCCAAAAAACTATTAAATGA